CAAAAATCAATTGTTTTAAAATTTGTCGTTAAATTCTTCGCAGTAATTCAATTATTTTCAAAAGTAATAAAATTCATTGCAAAATTTCAATTATTTTCAAAAATTTTTCTTTTTTACTAAACTTGATTATAAATAACAAATATTTTGAAAATTAGTACCCTAAAAATGGACCTTAAAAAAAATTATTTTAGACCTTGAAGAGTCCTTAAATTGTTTTTTAAAGTATCGCTGGACACCCTGTTATATGATTAGAGATTACAATTTATAAACAATTTATTAATTTTTTTAAAAATTGTTTAAATAATAATTTAATTTTTATTTTTAATCTGTAATCATATAGAGTTTAGTAAATTGCAAAATTAGGAAAAAACTGCAACTTTCCAGGTGCATTCTGTAAAAAGTTGGTAAATAACAATAATTTGTTTAAATAATTTTCGAATAATATTTTATGACTCGTTATCAGTAAATATTGTTTTTAATTTATTGCTTAAATACTAAGTAAAGCTAAAAAAAAAAAGTTGTCAAAAATTTTCTAATCTCTTTGTTTATTTGAAAATTATATGATTTTGCAATAATCAATTGTTTAAACAAATGCAATTTCCATAAAAATATTATTAAAATACAGTATTTGTAAATTACTTTAAAAATAATTTTGTCTAATATTGAAATTATTTTCTTGATATAGTTAAAAATTATTGGTGTATACCCTCCCTTGAATCAGAACGCAATTATTTCTTTTAATGAAATATACAAATTTTTTTTTTGACATTAAAATAGGAAATTAAATATAAAAATCCAATGCAGGAGAAATTCACATCGAGCAATGGAATTAAATATGAAAATTTAAAATCCTTTTTCCAGTATTTAGAAAGATGCCTAATCAGTTTCTTAAATATATAAACTCTTTGTTTGTTCAATTCTGATTTAATCAGAACAGATATATAGTTGTTTCTTCGACTGAAATACAAATTTTTTTTTCGCTATTAGAGAAAAAAGAAGGAAATATAAAAAAAACATATAAAGAGGGGAGAAAATAATTTGTCCACTTTGAATCAGGATAAATCGTATGAAATGCCATTATATGCCTTGAAGAATAACATTTCCCTTCTTTTTGTCTGTCAGAGAGAGAGAGAGAGAGGGAGAGAAAAACATCCCCAAAATTCTTGAGACTATAAGAGGATGGCGCATAAAAGGATCTCATTCACGCAACAATGTTCCTACTACTTTTGACGCAAACTCCTTCTTATAACAAGAAAAAGCACGATTTGTCTGCTTCTCCTTTTTTCTTGCCACTTTTATATGTATATAGACACTTTTTCTCCCTCTCTCTCTCTCTCTCTCTTTGTCTCTCTTTCTGACTCGTTTTCTCTTTCTTTCTCGCTTTCTCTCTCTCTCTTTCTGGTTCGCTTTTTCTCTGTCTCTCTTTCTCCCTTTGGCTAGTCAGAGGGTTGAGAAAGAGAGAGAACGAGAGCTCTCTCTCTTTTTCCTCATGTGATGCGCTATCGGGTCCGCCACTGACGACGCCGACATTATCGATTGGGGTAGCGTCTCTGGCAGTGCGCGCGAGCCCGCTGGCGAGTGCCTCCGTCTCACTCGAATATCCAGGCGGTAACAGGTGTTGGCATTGCATTGGCCTGCATTGCCTCTCTCTCTCGTGTGTAATCGATGATGGCGGGCGGCTCAAGTCGCCTTTGAGCGAGCGAGGTGACCGTCTCGGCGCAGACGCTGCTCGTGTTGCGGATGCGTAGGCGCCCCAGTGTGGCGGGTTGCACTTTCCACAGGGGCCGACAGTCGCACCCCAGCCACACCCGATACAAGCCATGTAGTCGGTTTACCCTCCCGCATACGGCGGACAATTGTTGCTTCTGCGCCCACAGGTGGTACTCGCTTCTTCTTCTTCTTCTTCTTCTTCTGCAACTACTTCTTCTTCTTCCTCTTCTTCTTCTCCTCCTCTTCTTTACTCATTCTTCTTCTATTCCCTCTTTTTTCCAATTCTCCCTCAATTTCTCCTCGCATTTCTCTTTACAATTCCCATCTGCGAACGCTCTTTTTCTCTCTCTCTCTCTCTTCCTACTTTTGGCCTCACTCTCATTTCGAACCGAGAAGTTCGAATATCAAAATCGAATTGATATTGTAAAAAAAAAAGTGCTAGTGGTGATTGATAGTGTTGACAATACTCTTAACAAAGAGTTGTGTGGTTGGATCGCGTAAAAAAAAGGGGTGCGTACAGTAATCTAGTGTTGCGGAAGTAACGGACGTCTCGCCTCCTCCGGCCGCTGAAGTCGCGTTATCGACCGCGTTTAACGCGACGCGCGGACCTGTTGTCCAACTTGTTGCTCGTCCTGCGGGCGTCCTCCGATTTCTCTTTCGCATTCTATATATATATAGAAGTGGTGTGTGGCCCCTCTCAAAGGAAACCGCGAATATTTCCCGGGCAACTTTACGGGATTCTTCGGTTTATATATATAGGATCTTACGACGAGCCGGAAGATAATCCAGAGTATTTTAACGGTGAATGAGGAAAACTGAGGATTAAATATTGCCAAATTCTTCCAATTGGAGGACTTTTTTCATTTCTTCACTTTGAAGAAAAGGTGATTTTTAAGAAGAGGCAGTGAAGAAAGGTGTAAATAACCAAGGAAGTGAAGAAAGAGGTGAAAAAATAGAGGGAGTGAAGAAAAGAGAAAGTAAAAAGTAGGAGAAAATATAAGAGAAGAAAGAGAAGTAAAAATTACAAGGAGTAAAAATAAAAATACAAGAAGTAAAAATTAGAAGAAGCAAAAAATACAAGAAGTAAAAAAGTAGAAGGAGTAAAAATACAAAGAGTAAAAATTAGAGGGAGTAAAATACAAGGAATAAAAGTAAAAGGAGTAAAAAATACAAGAAGTAAAAATTAGAGGAAGTAACAAACACAAAGAGTAAAAATTAGAAGGAAAAAATAGAAGAAGTAAAAATTAGAGGAAGTAAAAAATACAAAGAGTAAAAATTAGAAGGAAAAAATAAAAAAAAAATACAAACAGTTAAAAAGTAAGAGTAAAAATAGAAACAGTAATAAATAGAAAGAGTAACAAATAGAAAGAGTAAACAATAGAGAGAGTTAAAAATAGAAAGAGTAAACACAAGTACATTTGAAGTAAATATTAAGAAACATTAAAAAACCGCAATAACACCAAAAATCGTTATAAACAATAAACGAAGACCAGTAAAAAAAGAAATAAAACAAAACAAAAGCAAAGAAAACATAAAGAAATAAACATAAGAAACAAAAAAAAAAGCAAACGGAAAATAGACAAAGAACAAGAAAAGAAGAAACAAAAAGTAAAGAAAGAAAATCAAAGGAGAAAAAATTTGAAGAAAGAACCACAAGGATCGCAAGGAAGAAAGAGATAAACAAAGAAAAAAAGAAAAAAATAGAGAAAATCTTGGAGAAGAAATAGAAAATAAACAAGAAAGCGAAGAAGAAATAAAAAAAGAATAAAAAGAGAAAGAATAGGAAATAAACGAAGAGAAGAAAAAAAGATAAGAAGAAGAAAAACATAAAGGAAGGAAGAGACGAAGGAAAAAAAAGACTAAGGAAAAAAAGACTAAAGAGAAGAAAAAATAAAGAGGAGACAGGAAGAAACAAAAAATAAACAAACAAGACCAAAGAAGAAGACAAAAAGGAAAAACAAAAGAGAAACAAGGGACAAACAGAGAAAAGAAGAGAAAAATTATTGAAAAGGAAATAAATATAAAAAAATAATAATTCTTAAATAAATTTAAAACTGTGAGCCTTAAAAAACAAAACTAAATTGAAACTCAACTAGCCTTATAGAGAAAACAACAAAATAAAATAATTTTTAAAAAGAAAAAACTTTTAAGGAAATTAGAAAAATTATCTTTTTTCTAACGCCTGAAGAGATAGACGAGAAAAAACATTAAAAAAATACTGTTAAAAGAAAAAAATATAAAAATAAACAGAGACAACAACAAAGAAAAATTCTTTCAATTGAAAAAACAACTAAAATTAAAAGAATACACAGGAAAAAAAAATTTTTCCAAAAAAATTACAAAGAACCAGTAAAGAAAGAATTCAATTTTAAAAATAGAAATTGAATTAATAAGCAAAAAAAATGGGTTGATTTTAAGGCACAAATTACTTTTCATCTGTAAGTGCTTTAAAAAACTATTATTTTTTTTTGACGAAAAAGAAAAGGAAAGACAAACAGGAAATAAGTCATAAAAATTAACACAAGAAAGAAAAATTAATTTGAAATTTTAAAAAAAGAAAAATAAGGAAACTTTTCTTCTCTTATTTAATAAAATAAAATAAATAAATAAGAAACAAAAAGAATAAAGGAATAAAGAATCTAAAGTAAACAAAAGTAAATAAGAAATAAAACTCAAGAAAAAACAAAAGTAAAAAAAGAAATAAAACTCAAGACAAAATAAAAGTAAATAAGAAATAAAACTAGAGTAAAAACGTTAATAAAAAAAAGTAAATAAAAATAAAACTAAAATCAAAGGAATAAAAGTCAATATAAAAAGTAAAAGTAAGTCAACAGAAAAAATTAATTGGAAATTAAAATAAAGAAGAAACAAAAATAAAGAAAAAGAAAACATCAGTTTGCAATTAAAATAAAAAAAAATAAAAATAGAGAAAAAATTAATTCGAAATTAAAATAAAGGGGAAGTAAAAATAAGAAAGAAATTAAAATCTTAAGAAACACAAATAAATTTGAAGTAAAAATTAAGGAAAGGAAAAAATTATTTCGAAATTAAAATAAAAAAAAAGAAACAAAAATAAACACGAAATAAAAATAAAGAAAATTAAAAACTTAATTCGAAATTGAATAAAATAAAAAATAAAAATAAAGAAAACGAAAAACTTAAGGACAAAAAATAATAAATAAGAAGGAAAATTAAATTTAAAAAAATTTAATTAAAAAACAAAAATAAAGGAAAACTAAAAATAAATAAGAAATAAATAAAGGAAAAATAAATAAATAAAGGGAAGAAAATTTGAAGAAAAAGAAGAAAGCACAAGATAAAGGAGAAAAGTAAAAAGAAGAAAGAAAAAAGAAAAAGGACAAAAAAGAAATCCGACGCGAAAAAGGCGACGAGATAAAAGGATTCGAAGGAAATGAGGACGATGAGAAAAACCGTAAGGATCGCTTAAGCCTCATCCTCGCGTGCAAATGAGAGGGAGAGAGACGCCAAGACTTTGATACATATATATACATATGTACACAATACTTACACATATAAAAAAAAATTTCTAGATAAGAGGATATAATTTAAGATTTTATTAGTCTAGATATATGTCTCTGTTTATGTCGCTCGTACATGAGAAGTACAATTTTGCACATATATATACAATTACATAAGAAAATCTTCCACCCACTAAAATACAACGAAACCGTAATTCAACACAAGGTAAAATAGCGAGAGAAACAAAAAAAGAGAGAGAGAGAGAGAGAAAGAAAATTCTAAACTTCCAACTTGTTAACTAATTCTGCAAACTTTAAAACTACAAAAAAAACATTAGAAAAATATTTTTCCTTTTATCGTTTTATTCAACGATAGAAACAAAATAAAAAAAAACAACAAACAAAATAAAGACAAACAAAAAAAAAACAACAGTTTCGTAAAATCGAATAAATTCCCCAAGACTCCAGAGAGTGACTCTCTCTTTTTCGTGCGGCAAAAAACGAAAACAGGACCAGATACAAGAACAACAACAACAACAACAAAAAGAACCAAAATTCTCAGAATAAAATAGGAATAAGACTGACGCTTAAAAAAGCGATTGTGACACGTTTTGAAGAAAAAAAGTGTGTGTTGCTGTGTGTTTTTTCCAAAAAAAAAAAAATTTTTCTAATTTCTAATTTTTTTAATGTTTGATGCGAAGAAGAAAAAAATTTTCATTCCCATTTCCTCGTAGTTATGCGAATATGTGTAAATAAAGAAAAGGAAATTTGGGTGAAAAAAAAATTGTGAAGTGAATTTTCGGTTCTTTTTTTCTTCTCCTACCTTTTTTGACAAAAAAAAAAAAAAAAAAGAAGAAGAAAAAGAAGACAAAAAAAAAGGGAAAAGGAGGGAAAAATTACGGGAAAAAAAAATTAGTTATTCAAAATGCCACGTTGTTACATGGTGAAGAAGGCTTTATGCAACAAGTATATAAACAGCGTCGCCAGAGGATTCGAGAATCGGCCTCGAGGAAGAAGCACACCATCCCCAACCAATGTCTCTCCCCTGGAAGACAATCCTTATCCTGTTGCACTTCAAGGTACGGGAAACAATAATTCATTGTCTTTCGATTTTTAGTAACAAGATGATCATAATGATTTGTGACTTTACTTTATATAAGGTAGATACAACAAAATCTCTTGGATTTTAGAGTAATGTTTTTCTTTCTATCTTATTTTTTGGGGGGATAATGGAAATTTATCATTTTTCTCGAGACGAAATATTTTTTTTATTTTCTTTTTCCTTTTTTTTATTGTTCCCCTTTTTCTTTTTTCCCTTTTATTATTTTATGCTATTTTTCTTTTTTCCTCTTTTCCTTTTTTTCCTTTTTTCATTTTTTTGCTTCTATTTCTTTTTTTCCCTTTTTTCTTGCTTTGCTTCTTTTTTCTTTTTTCTCCTTTTTCTCCTTGTCCTTTTCTTCCTTTTTTCCCTTTTGTTATGTTTTGCTTCTTTTTATTAAAAGATTTAAAAGATTCAAAAATTTTTGAATTTAAAATTTAAAAGTATAAAAAACAGAAGTAAATAAAGAGAAAAAGTAAAAAATAGAGGGAGTAAAAAATACAAAGAGTTAAAATTAAAAGTATTCAAAAATAGAGGGGGTTAAAATAGAATGAGTGAAAATTAGATGGAATTAAAAATACAAAAAGCGAAAATTAGAGGAAGTAAAAAATACAAGGAGTTAAAATAGACGGAGTAAAAAAAATGCGGAGTAAAAAAATGCAGAGTAAAAAAATACGGAGTTTAAAATATGCCGACTAAAAAATAGAGGGAGTTAAAAATACAAGAAGTAAAAATATAGCGACTTAAAAATAGAAGGAGTAAAAAACGGAGTTAAAAATAGGCCGACTAAAAAATAGAGGAAGTAAAAAATAGAAAAAGTAAAAAATAGGGGGAGTTAAAAATACAAGAAGTAAAAAATTATAGGGAGTCAAAAATACAAGGAGTAAAAAAATACGGAGTTAAAAATAGGCCGACTAAAAAATAGAGGAAGTAAAAAATAGAAAAAGTGAAAAATAGAGGGAGTTAAAAATTCCTAGAAGTAAAAAATTAGGAGTAAAAAATGCAAGGAGTAAAAATATAGGAACTTTTAATAAAAGAAGTAAAAAATAAACTCTAAAAAAGTAAAAAATAGTGGGAGTAAAAAACAGAAGAGGTAAAAATAGAGGGAGTAAAAAATAGGCCGACCGAAAAAATAGAAGGAGTAAACAACAGGCGCAGTAAAAATAGAGAGAGAGAGCAAAATATATACGAAGTAAAAAAGTAAACCGAGTAAAAAATAGAGGTAGTGAAAAATAGTTGGAAAAAAATACAATTTCTAGAAAATAAGAGTAAAAAATTACTGGAGAAAAAATAGCAAAAAAAAAAAATTGAAGGTGAAAAAAATAGCAGGAAAAATTGAAGAAGGTAAAAATAGCAGAAAAATTGAGAGAGAAAAAAATTAGCAGAAGAAATTAGCAGAAAAAATTAGCAAAAAAAAATAGCAGAAAAATTGAGGGAAAAAAAATTAGCAGAAGAAATTAGCAGAAAAAATTAGCAAAAAAAAAATAGCAGAAAAAAAGCAGAAAAAATAGCAGAAAAATTGAAACAGGAAAAAATTGAAGGAGAAAAAAAGACAGAAAAGAAGTTGTTCGATGAAAGTAAAAGGAAAAGTAGATTGGGTCAATTTTTCAAAATTAACTTCAATGTATATAGTTATATTGGAGAAAAATATAATATGTCCCTTAGGGAAAGGAGAAAAAAGAGCGAGGAGGGTATAACACGTTAGAATGTATCATCGTACATTATTAAGGATCACGTTTTGTTTACATACCTAAGGAATCCCCTAATCTTCAATGATAAGTCTGACATGTTTTCCTTCCCCCTACAACGTCACTTATATATAACAACTTGACACCTCGAAAATTGTCTCAGGAATAAAAAAAAAAAAAAAAAAGAGGGAGAGATAAAAATCATTGTCAAATCTAATTTTTGTTTCCATGATATAAATATGCTCAATTATTTATTCAAAAAGGGGAGAGGAGGGAATTTTTTTTTATTCAATGAATTTTTGATGTAATGATTATTTTTTTAATCTATCAAAATGTAAATTAGTATTTTTATAGCACATATTTTTATTATTTTTTTAATATTATTAAATATCAGAACGATAGTATTTTTATTCTTCTATTTTTTTGTTATTTATTTATATTATTATTAAGTATCAAAATGTAGTATTTTTATTTTTATAGTATTTTGTATTTATTAACTATGAAAATGATAGTATTTTTATTTTTATAGTATTTTGTATTTTTTAACTAATGTTTTAATATTTAATTACTTATGTTATTTAATGGTTAATTATTAATATTATTTAATATTTATTTAGAAATATTATTTAATATTTATTTACAAATATTATTTAATTATTTATTTACAAATATTATTTGATATTTATTTACAAATATTATTTAATATTTATTTACAAATATTTTTTAATATTAAATTGTTATTAAATACCATTTAGGATTAACGCAGTAATAGTAATAATAATAGTTAATATTTATTTATTGAATAATAATTATTACCACGCGTTATCGTAGTTTCCAGCCTAGCCACGGTAATTGGAAATTAATAATGTTTTCTCATTCGTAATTAGTTTGCAAAAAATAATATTATATAGAGTTAAGGGCATTTGAACCTTGATGACGTTACAGATTGTGCAAAGCATGTGTGACGTCATCAAGGTTCAAATGCCCTTAAAGAGTTTGAAAAACGAGGTAAATAGCTAAAAGGCTAGTATAATTTAAATACAAACGTTTTCTTTTTTTTTTAAAGTCAACACACAGAACATTGACTTCGTCTTGAATTAGCTTTGTTAAGTAGACGTCAAAGCAATTTAAAATTTGCTATCTACTTTTATGATGAATAAAATAAAGAAATTTTCTTTTAAAAATAGAATCATGATCAATTTCATTTAACGACTTAAACTATACAGGAATAGAAAAGAACTTCCTGTCAGTTTATTAATTTATTTTTCCCTTCTTCTTCTACTTCTTCTTCATTCTATTTTTCTTCTTCTTTTTCATTTTCTTTGTATTTTTTTTCTTTTTTCTTTTTATTTTTTTTTCATCTTAAGAATAAAAATTTAAAAATTTCAACAAAGGAGAATATTTTATTCTATTTTATGTTAAAAAATAGTCAAAGTTAATTAAATAAAATTAATTAATCAACTAATTACTTGAATTACCATTAAGAATAATTAAAGTTAAAGAAAATCTGAAAAATGCTTTTTATAAATTTTTACTAATTAAAATTTATTTATTTATTTAAAATTAAAAATAATAGCAGAATTTAATTTTAAGAAGGCAATTTCGAGTCATAAAGAAAAAGATTTTTTTTTATTTGATTTGAAAGTAAAAAAATTAAAATAAGCAAAAAAAAAAAACTCCAATGAAAAACAAAACTAAAGAAAAATCGAAACCTTAAAAAAAAACAAAATTTAATATGAAAAGAAAAATAAAGAAAAAAGAAAAGTGAAGAAGAAGAAAAAAATAAAGGAAAAACAAAAATAGACAAGATATAAAAATAAAGGAAAAAGAAAAATTCATTCGAAATTTGAATAAAGAAGAAACAGAAGTAAACAAGAAATAAAAATATAGAAGAGAAAAAAAATGTATTCAAAATTTAAATAAAGAAGAAAGAAAAAAAAGAAAAGAAGAAAATTAATTAGAAATTTAAATAAAATACAAAAAAAATACAAAAATACAAAAAAAATACAAAAATTAAAATAAAAAAAAATTAGGCAAAAAAATAAATTCGAAATTCAATAAAATTAAGAGAAAATCAAAAATAAAGGAAAAACAAAATCAAAGAAAAATCAAAAGATTTTTCTTTAATTTTGTTTTTTCTTCATTTTCGTTAGATTTTTGCTAAATTAATTCGAAATTCAATAGAATGAAGAGAAAAACAAAAATAAACAAAAAATAAAAATATAGAAGAAAGAAAAATTATTCAAAATTTTAAAAAAGAAGAAAGAAAAAAAATGAGAAGAAGAAAATTAATTCGAAATTTAAATAAGGAAAATACAAAAATTGAAAAAGAAATAAAAATAAGGGAATAAAATAAATTCGAAATTTAATAAAATTAAGAGAAAAACAAAAATAAAAGAAAAAGAAAATTAAACAATAATTAAAAGATTTTCCTTTATTTTTGTTAGATTTTTGTTAAATAAATTCAAAATTCAATAAAATTAAGAGAAAAAGAAAAATAAAGGAAAAACGAAATGGATTTATTCAAAATTTTAATAAAGAAGAAACAAAAAATGAAAATATAGAAAAAAGAAAAATTTATTCAAAATTTGAATAAAGAAGAAATAAAAATATAGAAAAAAAAATTTATTCAAAATTTAAATAAAAAAGAAAGAAAAATAACAAAGAATTAAAAATAAAGAAAAGAGGAAAATTAATTATAAATTTAATAAAATTAAGAGAAAAACAAAAATAAAGAAAAAACAAAATTAAAGGAAAATCGTTCGATTTTTTTTTTAATTTTGTTTTTTCTTTATTTTTGTTAGATTTTTGTTAAAGAAATTATAAATTCAATAAAATTAAAAAAAAATGAATTTATTTATTCGTAATTTGAATAAAGAAGAAATAAAAATATTGAAGAGAGAAAAATTTATTCAAAATTTAAATAAAGAAAAAAGAAAAATAAACAAGAAATGAAAAATAAAGAAAAGAAAAAAATTAATTCGCAATTTAAATTAAGAAAATACAAAAATGAAAATAGAAAAAAATATGGGAAAAAAGTAAATTCGAAAATCAATAAAATTAAGAGAAAAACAAAAATAAAGGAAAAACAAAATTTATTTATTCGAAATTAGAATAAAGAAAAAATAAAAATTATAGAAGAGAGAAAAATGTATTCAAAATTTAAATAAAGAAGAAAGAAAAATAAACAAGAAATAAAAATAAAGAAAAGAAGAAAATTAATTCGAAATTCAATAAAATTAAGAGAAAAACAAAAATAAAAGAAAAACAAAATTAAAGAAAAATCTTTTGATTTTTCTATAATTTTGTTTTTCCTTTATTTTTGTTTCTCTCTGAATTTTATTTATTAATATTATTAAAAATTAAAAATTACGTAAAATAAATAAAAAGCAATAAAAGAAAAGAAATAATAATTAAAAGAAGAAATAAAAAATTTAATATAACAAAATTAAATTAAAACAAAATCATAAGTAAAATAAGAAACAAAAATAAAGAAGAAATAAAGAAGATAGAAAAAAAACGAAAATGAAGCTAAAAAAAATGTTCAAAAAAACAAAAGCAAATAAAAAGCAAATGAGCATAAAAAATAAAGGCAAAAAACAATAGTAAATAAGTTTGAAACAAAAATAGAGAAGAAACATTGAAAAAATGAAATAGAAATAAAATGAAAATACAAGAGACAAATAATAATTATAATTAAAAACTATATATTGTTAATAAATTATTAATAAATAATAATAAAAAAAAGTATTGTTGTAAAAAATATCGAAGAAAAATTTTTTCTGTAATTAAAATACAAGCAAGAAGGAAAGTGATAAAAATATCCTTCTCTGATATGAAAAAAATATTTTTCACGCTTTCTGGTAAAATATATTTCCTCTTTCTAAATTTCTTATTTATCCAGGAAAGATACACATTAAGTAATAAGCAAAGTTTACATAATTCGGTAAATGTTCACGTCCATAAAATAATGTGATTATTATTCGCAATTATAACACGCGTCTCCTTTTTTAAATATATAAATATAATAAATTATATATGAATCATTGTTATCCCTTTGTATCTCGTCAGTTCGTGATAAACAACTATTGAATATTTTGCCCCATTTCCGTTTGGCGAAGGCAGACACGGAAGTTGCTCGAGTCGTTCGAAATTTCATTTGAAAACTTTACGGCAAGGGTCTACTGAAAAATCGATGCCGCAGTCCGTGAAGGCTATATACCTTTTCTCTACTCGGCTTAATTCCCACTAGTTTAAATATACAAAAATCGTTCTCCTCTCTGCTTGCAAAAAAAATAAATAAATAAATAAAAATTGAAATTGAAAAAAGAAAACAATTTTTTTTATTAGATGAAAGAATTGTTTATATTTTCCATTTTCGAAAAAAAAATTTTTTTTCTAATTTTTTTCTATTCTTTATAATATTCTATTCAATTTTTTTTTCAAAAAATATATAGCTATAATCAAAAAAATATTTTTGAATTAAATATATTTTCTGATTGAATTCAGTCTAAATAGAAAATTTATTTTTATTGAATCAAAATTATTATGTTTGATTCAAAAATAATTTTTGGTTGACTGTATTTGATTCGAATAAATTTTTTTTTAGTGTTTAAAGTATATATGGTCTTTTTTTAATAAAAATTAATCTAATTAGTAAAATTCGGGTTATTAGACGAATTTTCCTAGTGTAGTATAGTAGTAATTGTAATATTTTACTATAGTGAGAAAATCAGTCGAATTTTGTGGAGGATTGTCTGAGAATAATGTGGGTATTTACTACTAATAACGATGAGAAGAGAAGGGAAACGTTTGTCTGACTATAATAGACTTTTACTACTTAGGGCGTGACTGAAACGATTGAAAATATTTTCTCTGAAGTTTCATCAAATTTTTTACCCTGCTACTGGAAAAAGTGCGGGGAAAATAAATTATTTGTCTGACTATAGCAATTTTTAACCACTTCTACAACTAAATCAATTTTTAAATATTCAGCCTGTCTATAGATAGTATTTACAGTCTCAACTACCTAATTAAATAATTTAAAATTACGTCCAACTGAAACCGGGTTTTTTTTCTACTATAAATTCTAAAATTGAGATAATGTCGAGAAAATAAAATCGGTCTGACTACAAATCGGTTTTACTACTTGTTTAAAAAAAAATTTTGTAATTTTATTTCATTATTTTTTTATTACTCTAGTTTATTGTATTTTAGGTTTATTAATTTATTTTTTGTATTTTATGTATATTATTTTATTTTTTGTACTTTATATCACAGTTTTTCTGCGGATATCAAATTGAGACAAAAAAAGAATAAAAATGTTGCTTCGCAACACTTTTGATTCTTTTTTTGTCTCAATTTGATATCCGCAGAAAAACTGTGATCTACTAATAATGGTAATGAATATATTGTGCTTTTTACTTTTACTACTGAAAATTTAAATGCAATTTTTAATGAAAAAACTACTTTTAAATGACTTGAAATACAATGTCTGACTATTGCTGTCTTTTACTACTGAAAAATTATTCATACTATTATTATTATTACTATTATTACTTTACTGAAAAATGTTTTTTTAAATACTTTCAAAATACTGTCTGACTATATTTTTACTTTTACTACTGAAAATGTAAATGAAATTTTTAATGAAAAAAAGCATTAAAACGACTTGAAATCAGTTGTCTGACTATATATGTTATTTACTACTGAAAATTTAGAAATTAATTAAAATAATCCTATTTTTTCGTTAAAAATTGCATTAAAATTTTTTCAGTAGTAAAAGTCAAAATATCGTCAGACTTGTAATGAGAAAAAAAATTTAATTGATTCAAATAACCGATTACATGAATTTTTTATCAAATAAATATTTACTTGGATGAAAAAACTTTTATTTAAATCAAATAAATTGAGGCCTTGGATCCAATAACTCGCCCGACGCTCGGAGACTCGCGCTAATGCCAGTCGGGTAGCAGTGAGTGGCCCAGAGGCGCTCACTGCTCACTGACTGGTAGTTGCGCGTTCCTCCGAGCGTCGGGCGAGTTATTGGATCCAAGGCCTCAATTGTATTTTAACCAATAATTTCACTATTTGAATAAATAATTAAAGTATTTAAACAAATAATTTGTGTGATTGAACTAATAGTTTTAGTATTTAAAATAAGTATAATTAATCGAAATAAAAATTTTTTAATTGGAGTAAATATTTATTTAATAGTAGACGCAAGTAATATTTGAATCAGGTACATTTTTTTTTTAGTTAAAGTTATCATGTCTGACTATATTTTGACTTTTACTACTAAAAATGTCAATGCAATTTTTAATGAAAAAAATACTTTTGAAACACCCATTGAATTGTCCTTGTTTGTTAAAATTTTTTTTTAGTATTTCCAAAATATTGTCTGACTATATATTGCCTTTTACTACTGAAAATGTAAAAGCAATTTTTAATGAAAATATTCTTTTAAAACGACTTGAAATCAGTTGTCTGACTATATCTGTCTTTTACTATTGAAAATTTAGAATTAATTAAAATAATCCTATTTTTTTATTAAAAATTGAATTAAAATTTTTTTCAGTAGTAAAAGTAAAAATATAGTCAGACGTGTACTGTAAAAAAAATGTAGAAATTATTTTATTGAAGTAAATATTTATTTGATAATAAACGCAAGTAATATGATATTTGAATGAAATATATTTTTCTTTATAGTTCACATTTCTGGCTATATTTTGACTTTTACTACTAAAAAAGTCAATGCTATTTTTAATGAAAAAATTCTGTTAAAACGATCTAAATCACATTGTCTGACTATTGCTGTCTTGTACTACTGAAATAATAATTTAATAATAAATTATTTTGTCTTCTATTATTTCGTATATTTTTAAATTTTCCCATTTACTGTCAATAAGAGTAAATTTTGGTATTTACTATTAATATCTGTTAATTTTTGAATTTTTAATTAATATAACGGTTTTGGTATTTACTATTAATAATCAGTAAATTTTGGTATTTACCATTAAAAACAGTAAATTTTTATAAAATCCCTAAAAGTGACATGTTAGATAATTTAGAAATTAATTTTCTAAAGTAAAAAAGTTTTTTTATGGAAATTGTAAAAACTTTTTAGGAATAAATAAATAAATATATTATTATTTAAAGAAATAAATTTATTATCAGAAATTAATTTTCTTCGTCAATTTTTCAGAAGCGCCACTATCGGAGGAGAAAGATGAATCGACATCCTCATGTGAAAAATCAACAAATCGTCTCGAAAGGATCCACGACGAGAATGCAATCAACCAATCAGATTCTCAGCAAAAATCGCCAAAGAGACAACATCAAAAAAACACCGAAAACCCCGTCGTCGTCGTTGTCGTCGCCGCCGCAGCCGCCGAACAACAATCGGAGAAATCGCTTGAAAATTCCATAAAAAAATCGCCTAAAAAACGTTTTCAAAGGGTACAAGACGTCATCGAGAATGTAATCGATCAATGCAATCCACCAAAATTGACAAATCTAAAATCAACGGTAATTTCATCTATTGGTAATGTATTGCAACCGACATCATCACAAACATCATCATCATCATCATCATCATCAATATCGTCTTCAAAAAATCCCGACGAAATTAGGACGGAAAATATTCTCTCCCAATATAATCAATCATCATCATCATTATTATCAATCGATGGTTGCGCCTCACGTCTCGAAATTCTCTCGCCCTACAAAACAACGGAACGTTTTCGTTCAACTTTCGAATCGGTCATCATTACAAAGGATCAAATACAGAATTCCGATCATCAAATGGGACATCACTTTGGTAATAATAATCGAATTACGGATCAAGTTCAAAGTGAATTTGTCAAGGATCGAAGGGAAAGTGGAACGAATTATGTTGAGGAGAAAATGGAAATTGGCGTCATTCGAGAGAGATCGGTAATTACCGAGGGGGAAACGAGGTTAAATCGATTGGCAAGGGAAACGGAAGTTGCGAGTGAATTTTTCCGGGATCACAGAGAGAGATCGTTGAATGTTGAGACGACGACGACAACAACAACAACAACAAGTGATGTGGCGGCGACGAGGACGACGACAACAATTGGCCTATTTAGAGATAGATCGGCGGCCGAGACGGAAGCTGCTCACGATCTATTGGAATTGTCGAGATCATTGCCGCCATTACCGCAACCAAGTGTCGCGATTGGTCCGCAAAATGTCATCGAATTGCCATCGACAGACGTTCAGGAAATGACTGTGAGTAATTTTATTTTGATAAATAAATAATAATAAATATAAAAAATAATAAATATAATAAATAATAAATATAATAAATAATAAATATAATAAATATAATAAATATAATAAATATAATAAATATAATAAATATAATAAATAATAAATATAATAAATAATAAATATAATAAATAATAAATTTCTTCAAATAAAAACAAGTAAATTAATTAAAAACAAAAAATTTAAATAAATTTCGACCCAAGTTATAATGTCACATTGTAAAGCAGAATTAAAGTTAAAAACAATATTTTTTAGGCTGAGAATATTTATGTTTTATCACTGATTTTTGAATTCAAGTAAATTTATAAACTGCTCTGCCTAATTAAAAATAGGCTATACTACTAATGACAAAAGACGGACTTAAAGTGAGTTAAAAGTATATCTGACTATGAAGGAGTTTACACCGTAAGCCTTAAATATAAGCCTCCGCGCGCATAAACGGATATACCTCTAGGAGCATATATTTGCGCCTGCGCGAACACGTGGTCAAGGCAAACTCTTTCACAACACAGCTGCAGGCAAACACTTTGCGCAGACGCAAGTATATCCTCATGGAGGCATATCCGTTTATGCTCGCGGAGGCTTATATTTAAGGCTTGCGGTGTAAACACCTTCTATAACTGAATTTTTCTACTTAAGAAATATATTAATTAAAAGTAACTTTATAAAAGTGTCTGACTATAACTGACGTTTACTACTTATAACAAAAAAGACAAGAGAAACTTGAAGTAACTTGAAAATATGTCTGACTACAACCGACTTTTACTAGGGGAGAGTGGGGCAAAATGGGGTAGGCGGGTCAAATGGGGTACCTCTGTTTTTCCATGATAGGTACTTTTAATTTTTTTATCCTCGACATATATCATTCATGTTGATAAGAAACTGTTATTAATTATGAAGACACTCCAAAAAAAATTTTGTTTTGAAAGTTATACAACTTTTAAGTTTTAAGCAAAAAAAATATGAATGTTTATCGAAATTAAAGTGCTTACAAAACTTTTTGGGATAATGCATTTAATTTGGCAAGTGTGGTATCTTTTTCAGCACTTATTCTAGAGTAATTTCCAATAGAATAGATTGTTTAATTGTTTACAATAACTTGTAAACATTGCATTTTGTTTTAATATGCAGTGTGGGGCAGAATGGGGTACCTAAGTGTGGGGCATGCCGGAAGCTACGCCGTTCCATTAAAACTATTTAAAAACATTATATTATGCATATTTAAAGGTTTCCTGCAGAAGAATCGATATTTTTGCTTCGAGGCATTTATACTATTGATGTTTCATTATCAATATATCGATATTTTGCAATATCCATGTTTTTTTTGTTAAATTCTAATAAATATTACTTGTTTTTCATAATAATGAAGAATCCTACTTTGTGTTTGTATTTATAATCTCATACAACAAGAATTTAATGAATTTTGAAAAAATATTCAATGTTTTGTATAGTTATTTGATGACACCCCATTTTGCCCCACGGGTGGGGCAAAATGGGATTTTAGCACTTTCTTAGAAAATACGATATAAGTTCTTTCAAAAATTTTTTTCTCCGCTATTATCATAATTTCCTCAAAGCTAAGTGTACAAAGAAGAATTCTGAAGTTTAGCTGAATCGATTTATTCGTTTGGTTCTCTGTAAACAGACAATTTCAAAAAGGTACCCCATTTTGCCCCACTCTCCCCTACTTTAACTAATTTTACTACCACTTTCCACTACTTTTTATTAAAATAGAATAGAATAGAAAAAAAATAGAAAATAAAATAGAAAAATAAAAATAGAAAATAGTAGTTTTCACTACTTTTTATTAAAATAGAATAGAATAGAAAAAAAATAGAAAATAAAGTAGAAAAATAAAAATAGAATAAAATAAAATAAATAATAATAAAATAGAATAAATAATTAAAATAGAATAAAACACACTTTATAAAAGTGTCTGACTATATCTGACGTATACTACTTATATAACAAAAGATAGACTATAAGTGACTTTGAAACATGTCTGACTATAACCTACTTTTTCTACTTTTACTAATTTTACTACTACTTATCACTATTTTTTTTTAAACCAATATAAAGTCTGACTTTTAAAGTTTTTTTCTACTGTCAATAAAAATCGAACAACTATTTTCTTAATTAATTTTTGTTTTAATTAATTAATAAAAATTATTTTCAAATAATAATTAGATTTACTGCTGAAATTCGAATTAAACTCAAAGCAAAATGTGAATAAAAATTTTAAAAATGACTTAAAAAATATATCTGAATATAACTGACTTTTACTACTATAAAAAGTGAAATATGTCTGGCTATGACTGATTTCTACTACTTGTTATTAATTAATTTACTTTAAATATTTCTTCAAAATCTGATTTTTCAATGAATTTTGTTTACAAACAATAAAAATGAATAAATTTTTCTTTCTAATTTAATTAAATTAATTAAAAATTAAACTATTAATAACAAAAGACGAAATAAAAATGAATTAAAAAATTATGTCTGACTATTATTGACTTTTACTACTTAAAAATATAAATTAAAATTGTGTTATATACGTGCCTGACTATAAATGACGTTTGCTACTTATAATAAAAGACAAAATAACAGTGTCTTAAAAAGATGTCTTACTGTAACCGACTTTTACTACTTTTACTACTACTTTTCACAATTTTTTATTTTTAAATTTGAATTTTAAGAAATTCAGTTTTTCGAAATTTTTATAATTTTAGATTTTTTACCAAAGAGTCGAGACTATTAAGTAAGTAAAGTATTTTTCAAGAGCCCAAAAATAATGAAGCTAAATGCCTTAAAAGAGAAGAAAAAATGTTGAATTTTAAGAAATTCGGATTTTTGAATTTTTTATAATTTTAGATTTTTTACCAAAGAGTCGAGACTTTTAAATAAGTAAAATATTTTTCAATAGCACAAAAACAATGAAGCTAAATGCCATAATAAAGAGGAAAAAATGTTGAATTTTAAGAAATTCGGATTTTTGAATTTTTGAATTTTTTATAATTTTAGTTTTTTTACCAAAGAGTCGAGACTTTTAAATAAGTAAAGTATTTTCCAAGAGCACAAAAATAATGAAGCTAAATGCCATAAAAAAGGAGAAAAAATGTTGAATTTTAAAAATTCGGAGTTTTGAATTTTTGATAATTTTTGAAAATTTTCGATTTTTTATCAAAGAGTGGAGACTATTAAATAAGTAAAGTATTTTTCAAGAGACCAAAAATAATGAAAATGAATAATGAAATGCCTTAAAAGAGAAGAAAAAATGTTGAATTTTAAGAAATTCGGATTTTTGAATTTTTGAATTTTTGATAATTTTCGATAATTTTCGATAATTTTAGATTTTTCACCAAAGAGTCGAGACTATTAAATAAGTATAGTAGCTTTCAAGAGCCCAAAAATAATGATGCTAAATGCCATAAAGCAGAAGCAAAAATGTTGAATTTTAAGAAATTCGGTTTTTCGAATTTTTGATAATTTTAGGTTTTTTACCAAAGGGTAGAGACTTATTAAAAGGGTGTCTAACGGTCAGAGAAGTCAGATAGTGTCAGAAAATTTCATTGAAAGTCAGGAAAATTTCTAAAAAAATATAAAAAAATTAAAATTTTTGTGAATAAAAAATTTTTTTAATCTAACAAAAGTTTGAAGATTTTTTTAATCGGTTGTTTCTATTATTAGATATTAATTTATTGCTAAATATGTCAGTTACCATATTTTTGTCTCAAGAAAGCAGAAATAAAATTATTAAAAGTCAGGGAATTATTTTTTTAATCCTTGTTAGACACACTGTTTAATATTGAATAATTAATTTAATTATTAAAAAAAGTTAATTCAATTAATTTAATAATTAAATTTTTTTTAAAAATGTCTTGTCTGACTAAAATTAGATTTTACTATACTTATGAAATAAGTAGTAGTTTATTACCTAAGGAAAAAAGTAGGAGGCTGTGTTGCAAGTAGTGAATGACAGTTTTGGTCAGACAAAATAATGTAAATTTGTTTAAATTAAAAAAAAGTGATAAAAGATAAATTTAATCATATTATAAGAAAAATAAAAATTGTTCACTCTTTGTATATAGTAAAATTGTTTACTCTTAGTATAGTAAAAATTTTTACTCTTAGTGTAGTAAAAATTGACCATTAAAAGTCAGATTTTAAAATCTTGATATCTTAATTCACTTTTACTACTGATATTTAATTTAGAACGTTTTAAAGTCTTTTGTCTGCCTATTAACGAATTTTCAACTACTTGCATTATTTTACTACTAAATAGTAAAATTAGAACATTTTTTAATTCTTTTGTTCTACGAGTTATAAATTGACCTTTACTACCGAATCTGCAAATATATTGTCCGTCTATAAATGACTTTTACTACTGATACTTAAATTCTAAACTTTATTTTTACTGTCTGACAAGAATTGACTTTTACTACTGGCAACAAAATGCATAATCTCCAACAGTAACAATTTTTAAGTACTTGTGTTTTTTTGACTTGCCATTACCGGTATTTATCACTGTTGTAGAAAAATAAAATGGGTAAAAAAATAAAATAACAGGAAAAAAGTAAAGAAAAACGAAAAATAGAATAGAAAATAGTCAAAAAATTTTGTCTGACAAATATTTTTTTCTACTGATAATAAAATTTTACTTTTTTGCTTTTAATTAGTAAATTTTGCTAATAAATTAGTAGAAATTATTATTTACTTTTTGCTTTCAATTTAGTAAACTTTACTAATTAATACTAATTTCTACTAATTTATTAGTAAAATTTACTAAATTGAAAGCAAAAAGTAAATAATTTCTACTAATTTATTAGTAAAATTTACTAAATTGAAAGCAAAAAGTTAATAATTTCTACTAATTTCTTAGCAAAATTTATTTATTCAAAAGCAAAAAGTAAATAATTTCTACTAATTTATTAGTAAAATTTACTAAATTGAAAGCAAAAAGTAAATAATTTCTACTAATTTATTAGTAAAATTTACTAAATTGAAAGCAAAAAGTAAATAATTTCTACTAATTTCTTAGCAAAATTTATTTATTCAAAAGCAAAAAGTAAATAATTTCTACTAATTTATTATAGTAAAATTTACTAATTTAAAAAAAAAGTCAGTAACAAATTGAAATTAGTAAATACTTTTTTTAATTCGAATTTAGAGAGAATGAAGTAAAAAAAATTTCCTTATTTAATGATTAAAAAATTCTCAGTCAGAGAAAAAAAAAATAAAAATTTTTTCGTAATTTATTTCTTTACTAATCTTTTTTTCGATATTTTTTTAGGTATATCAACCTGCCGAGCAACCGGTCTATCAAGTGAACACAATTTTCGCCAGTGATTTAACAAACACTGGAATATATCATCATCATCATCATCATCAGCAACATCATCATCAACAACAGCAGCAGCAACAGCAAAATCATCATCAAAATCATCATCACAGTCTTCATCACAGTAATCATCATACGGGAATTATTTATGAGCCAACGGCGGTAGCAGTAGCAGCAACAACAACAACAACGGCAACAGCAACGACAAATGCAACAATTATTCAACAAACGCCAGGCGGTGTTTTTATACCATTATCGCCAGTTCAAGAGATTTTGTTCACGTACAGCACTCCGTCCGTGCCGACGTCAATTATCACTCAGCAAACAATTGAGACAGTTCCGCCATTGACGCCACCGACATCCGAGTGCAGCAGCGACATCGAGAACAATAATCCAAATTCACAACCAACTCAACGTGACAAGGAGGTGCAGACAATCACCGAACAGTCCGAGGTGAAGGTCGCCGCCTACACCTACGACACTCTTCTCGTCGCCGATGGGAGATCGAAAAATAAAAAGCTACCACCGCAACAGCAGAACGTAGAGGATGTCGACACTGAACCTGTTGATAATCTCGAGTCGCCCAAGGGTGGACGGTATATTTGCTGTGAATGTGGTGAGTTTTTTTTATTTTTTTTTTTAATATTCCTCTAGTCGCAAAAGGAATTTAGACATTTTTCTCTAAAGAGTATTTTTCTTTTTTTAATTTTTACAGTTTGGAGTTTATTTATATTTATTTCTCTATTTATTTTTTCACTTATTTATTTATTTATTTATTCATTCATTCATTTATTTACGTATTTTTTTATTTATTTATTTACTTATTTATTTATTCATTCATTTATTTATTCTTTTATTTCTTCATTCATTTATTTATTCATTTATTCAAAATAATAATAATAATAATTTTTTTTTTTATTTTTTTCTTTTATTCATTTATTTATTCATTTATTTATTCCTTAATCCATTTAATTTTTAATTTATAACTTATAATTTAACAAAATTTCAAAAATCGAAAAAAATTTATTTATAAATATTATAATGGAAGGAAAAATTATTTCAAAATAATTAAATTTAATTAATTTATAATAAACGATTATTTCTATATTCAAATAATTCAAATTTCAAAATTTCTTCAAATTATTTATAATAAATTATTATAAATTACTGTTTACAAAAGTATTTACAATACTCAATTGAAAAAATACCAGGAAAAATTCAGCAATTAATTGTATTATTATAACAACTTAGAAAATTTTTTATTTTTGAAAAATCAATTTTAATTTTTGAATATAATTTTAAAATCCAAATTTTTAAATCACTTTTATTGGCTAATTTAGTTATTAATCACCATTATTTACCTTTTGCGATATAATTATATTTTTAAGATTTATTTTCAATTGAATTGAATTGAATTGAATTGAATTGAAAATTGAATTGAAAATTGAATATATAAAATTGAAATTCAAAAAATATGTAATTGATTATAAAAAAAAATTTAAATAAATAAAAAAAAATTCTAATTCTAATTCTAGTAATTAAAAAAAATTCTTCGCAGTAATTCAATTATTTTTATAAATAATAAAATACTTTGGAGGAATTCAATTAATTTGAATATTGTATTTATTTCACTGAAACTTAATTTAATAAGATTTATATTTCGAATTATGAATAAATTTTGGAGAACGAATTTTTTTAAAAGATTTTATTTTATTCTTTTACATTTTCGACAGTTGTATTCTTAGAAAATTTCGATAATTTCGGAAAACAATAAAACCCTAAGGACATTGCAAGCAAACAAGGTCATTATGACAATAAATGTTTTTACAATCACTTGAGGGTTCGGATTATTTAACAAAATATAATGGCGTAGAGTTTATTGCAAAGTCGTAGACGATAAAATAAATTTGTAATATTTTACAAATATAATTTTAGTGTAATTATAATTTTTATTAAATTTCTCGAAAGAATTTAATTATTTTCAAAAATTTTCAATTAAATTCTTCAAAAGAATAAAAAATAATTATTTATTTTTGAAAATTTTGATAAAATTTTTCAAAATCAATTATTTTTAATACAATTTTTAATTATACATTTCTCGAAAGAATTTAATTATTTTCAATAATTTTAGTAAACGTTTTCGAAATAATTTAATTATTTTTGAAAAGTTTGATAAAATTCTTTAAGAAAATTCAATTGTTTTCAATACAAGTTTTAAATAAATTTTTCTAAAGAATTCAATTATTTATTTATTTTCAATACTTTTTGTAAAATTTATCGTAACAATTCAATTATATTAGAAAATTTTGATAAAAATTTTCGAAATCAATTATTTTTAATAAAATTTTTATTATAATTTCTCAAAAATATTCAAATAATTTTTAGTAATTTTTATTAAATTCTGCGAAACAATTAAATTATTTTTGAAATTTCAGATAGAATTCTTCCTAATCAATTATTTTCAATACAAATTTTAATTTAATTTCTCGAAATTAAAATGATTTCTTTAATTATTTTCAATAATTTTAGTAAAATTTATCGAAACAATTTAATTATTTTTGAAATTTTTGATGGAAATTCTCGAAATCAATTACTTTTAATACAATTTTTAATTAAATTCTTTGAAAGAATTCAATTATTTTTAATGAAATTTCAATTAATTTCTTGAAAAAATTCAATTATTTTTAATAATTTTTATTAAATTTTGCAAAATAATTAAATTATTTTTGAAAATTTTGATAAAATTCCTTGAAATCTAATATTTTGAATAAAATTTTTAACTAAATTTCTCGAAAGAATTCAATTATTTTCAATAAATTTTGTAAAACTTTCTGAAATAATTCAATTATTTTTGAAAATTTTGATAAAATTGTTTGAAAGAATTCAATTATTTTTAATCAAATATCAATTAATTTCTTGAAAAAATTTAATTATTTTTAGTAATTTTTATTAAATTCTGCAAAATAATTCAATTATTTTTGAAAATTTTGATAAAATTCTTCAAAATCAATTATTTTGAATAAAATTTTTAATTAAATTTCTCGAGAGAATTTAATTATTTTCAATATCTTTTGTAAAACTTTCCGAAATAATTCTATTATTTTTAAAAATTTTAATTTAATTCTTTAAAAGAATTCAATTATTTTTTAAAAAATTTCAATTAATTTCTCGAAAAAATTCAATTATTTTTAGTAATTTTTATTAAATTCTGCGAAACAAATTCAATTATTTTTTAAAATTTAGGAAATGTTCTTTTTGAAAGAATTAAATTATTTTCAATACAATTTTTCATTAAATTTCTCGAAATTAATTAATTATTTTTCTAATTATTTTCGATAATTTTAGTAAAAATTTTCGAATCAATTTAATTATTTTTGAAAATTTTGATAAAATTCTTTAAAAGAATTCAATTATTTTCAATTATTTTCAATTAAATTTCAACTAAATTTAACGAAACAATTAAATTATTTTCAGAATTTCCAATAAAATTTTATACGCGAATTAAATTACATATTTCATTTTCAAAGTTAAATTCACTTATTAACGAAAAATTATGGAAAATAATTTCTAAATTTTTCTTTGTAAAATTATTATCCACAAAATATTTGAATTGTTTTGAAAAATAACTTTCAAAATTGTTTAAGGTCATCAGAACCATTTTGACGTCACAGTTTTCGAACCCATGCTCATGTTCAGGTAGAAAAAAGGGAGAATATAATTGAAAATATTTTATTTTGGGGATGTTTATCTTTCAATGGTTTCTCAATAACCGACTCGCAATTATAATATAACAAAAGGCGTACAAGCATGGCCGTTTACAACCTCAAGATAATGGCCGACTTTAAATGATTTCATTGGCTGATTTTAGTCAAGCCCACTTTGCATTGTTATCTCAATAGTAAGATAACATTTTCTAACTGTATTTTCAATAATAGTTATACCCAAAAATTATTTCAGTAATGATCAAATAATATTTAATAAGAAAAGGTATCTTTATTTTATTTTTAATTTATTTTAATTTAATTTTTATTTAATTTTTATTTTATTTTTATTAAATTTTTATTTTCTTTTGAATTTAATTTTTAATTTATTTTCATTTAATTTCTATTTTATTTTAAATTTATTTTTAAATTATTGTCATTTGAATTTTAATTTATTATTATTTTATTTTAATTTTATTTTTATTTAACTTTTATTTTATTTTTTTTATTGTAGAAATAAAAGAAGGAGAATAGTGTAATTAATAAAATTTTGATTTTTTTGCAGGCAAACAATATGCGACATCATCAAATTTATCGCGACACAAGCAGACACATCGCAGTATTGATTCACAATCGGCGAAAAAATGTATTTACTGTGGCAAGGCGTACGTGAGTATGCCGGCATTGGCAATGCACGTATTGACACACAAATTAACGCACAGCTGTGGTGTTTGTGGGAAAATGTTCTCCAGACCATGGTTACTTCAAGGCCATTTACGAAGTCACACGGGCGAAAAACCATATGGCTGCGCCCACTGCGGCAAGGCATTTGCCGATCGTTCAAATCTACGTGCCCACATGCAAACACATTCGGCCGACAAAAATTACGAATGTCCAAGGTGTCGAAAATCATTTGCGCTCAAATCTTATTTAAATAAACATCTCGAGTCCGCATGCCAAAAGGAAAATGGTGATATGGATGACAATGAAGTTTCGTCCACGTAAAACAACGATTTTAAGGTGATTTTTCCATTTTTCAATTTTTAATTCATTTTGTAATTTTTTTTTTCAATTTTTATATTTTATTCTATTTTTTAAAATTGTTATTATGTATAATTAAATTTAGTAATTTTTAAAATTTATTTATAACATTTTTAAGGGCAGTACATTTACTATTAATTTAGTAGCAAATTCAATTATTTTCAATACTTTGAGTAAAATTTATCGAAACAATTCAATTATTTTTGAAAATTTTGATAAAACTTCTCAAAATCAATTATTTTTAATACAATTTTTAATTAAATTTCTAGTACGAATTCAATTAATTTCAATAATTTTAGTTACAAATTCAGAAATATTTCTATTATTTTAGAAAATTTTGATAATATTCTTTGAAAGAATTCAATATTTTTAATACAATTTAAAATAAAATTTTTCCAAAGGATTCAATTATATTCTTAATAATTTTAATAAAATCTTCGTTACAATTCATTATTTTCGAAAGTTTGAATAAAATTCTTCGAAATCCATTATTTTGAATACAATTTTTAATTATATTTTTTGAAAGAATTCAATTATTTTCAACAATTTTTGTAAAACTTTCCGAAATAATTCAATTATTTTCGAAAACTTGAATAAAATTCTTCGAAATCAATTATTTTGAATAGAATTTTTAATTAAATTTCTCGAAAGAACTCAATTACATTCAATAATTTTTATAAAACTTTCCGAAATAATTCAATTATTTTTAAAAATTTTGATAAAATTCTTCGAAAGAAATCAGTTATAATACAATTTCAATTAAATTTTTCGAAAAAAACTAATTATTTTCAATAATTTTAGTAACACTTTCAAAAATATTTCTATTATTTTTGAAAAGTTTGATAAAATTCTTTGAAAGAATTCAATTATTTTAAATACAATTTTAAATAAAATTTCTCTAAAGAATTCAATTATTCTTAATAATTTTAATTAAATTCTTCGTTACAATTCAATTATTTTCGAAAGTTTGAATAAAATTCTTCGAAATCAATTATTTTTAATACAATATCAATTAAATTTATCAAAAAAACTCAATTATTTTTAATCATTTTTAATAAATTTCTTTAAACAATTGAATTTTACCTTCCACGGATCGAAATTTCTACTTACTTCTAATTGAATTATTTTTTCAAATTTTGATAAAATTCTTTGAAAGAATTCAATTATTTTTAATACAATTGCAATTAAATTTCTCGAAAAAATTCAATTTTTTTTAGTAATTTTTCTTAAGTTCTTCGCAGAAATTCAAATTATGTATTTTGAAAAATTTTAATTAAATTCTTTATGACAATTGAAAAATTTTCAATAGAATTGTAATGAAATTCCTCTAAATAAATTCAATTATTTTCAAAAATTTTAATAAAATTCTTAGCAAAATTTCAATTATTTTCATAATTTTTTAGTTCTCAAAAGAATTAAATTTCTTTTTAAATTTGATAAAATTTTTAGCAAAAATTCATATTATTTTGAAAAATTTTAATTAAATTCTTTAAGAGAATTGAAATATTTTTAATGCAATTTTAATTCAATTCCTCAAAAAAATCGTATTATTTTCGAATATTTTAATAAAATTATTAGTAAGATTTCAATTATTTTTATTATTTATAAAATTTTCCGTTGGAATTTAATTTTTTTTTAAAGAATTTTAACGCATAAATTCCATTACTTTGAAAAACTTTGTTAAAATTATTTATGAGAATTAAATAAAATATTAATAAAATTCAAATAAAGATTGAATGATTTTCATAATTTATATAATTTTTGTCAGGAATTTAATTATTTTATAGAATTTTAATAAAATTTTTAGCAGAAATTCAATTATTTTGAAAAATTTTGATCAAATTATTTATGAGAATTGAATTATTTTCATAATTAATCAAATTATTTATGAGAATTGAATTATTTTCTAAAATTTTGATAAAACTTGTTTATTTATTTATTATGAGAAAATTCTTTATAAGAATTTAATATTTTTAGTGTTATCTTAATTAAATATCTCGCAAGAATTAACTTATTCTTAAAGATTTTAATTAAATTATTCGCAAGAAATTTAATTATTTTAAAAAATTTGTATAAATTTCTTTATAAAAATTTATATCTTTATAAGAATCATATTAAAATTATAAAATAAATAAATTAGAAATATATCTTTTTTTTATTTTATGTATTGTTTGTAATTCTTTAATATAAAATTTCCTTTTTTTAATTTTGTATTCAAAAATTTATTTTTAAATTATCTGCTTTATTTTTATTTTATTTATTCTTTACAATTCTTTAGTATTAAATTTTTTTTTTAATTTTCTGTTTGAATTTATTTTAAATTTTCTGTTTTATTTTTATTTTATTTTTTTGCAATTCTTTAATATCAAATTAAATTTCCTTTTTTCCGTCTTTTTTTTGTTGTTAATTTTCTGTTTGAAAAACTTGAGTTAAAAAATTTTCTGTTTTATTTTATTTTTATTTATTTTTTATTTGCAATTCCTTAATATTAAATTAAATTTTTTTTCTGTTGAAAAATTTAATTAACAAAATTTTCTTATTTAAATCACAAATTTGAAAAAATACCTGCAAAAAAAATTCAAGAATAATAAACCTAATTTGACTTTTACAGACTGTTAAACTTGCAGTTGAAATTGTACCAATTGAAGAAGAATTTCCCACGACGAATATTTTCCAGTCACAATAATGGGAAATCGTATAAAGCACATAAGAAGTTTATATGTATAGAAATAAGCAACGATCAAAAAAAAGAAGAAATAAAGAAAGAAATGGAAATTTATCGTAAACGTTCGAGGACCAGGAAAGCAAATACAAGTGCGTGTCGTACTTTATGTTTCGTTCGACCTCTTCAGGACTTCACATTAACAGGACCTCATGTAAGATGTTCTTTTTTTTTCTTTTTTACCATTTTAAAACTTGTCATAAAATTGTTCCATTTTATTTTCTATTGAAAAAAAATGGAAGTCACCATCGTATAACGCAGTTTTATTGTCATAAAAAAAAGAAAAACTGTACTACAAGATCATAAAAAAATGCGCGACTTTAAAAGCCGCTCGATTTTACGATCTCGAGTAATACAGAAACATTTCAAAAGGCACGAGAGAAAAAAAAATCCATTTTCTAAAGCGAAATACTTCAATAATTAATATTCTTATCAGAATAAAACTGTGTGTTTGATAAGATTGTATTTCTTCTGAGGAAATACTAGACACGAAAATTTTTTCCTTTTCGAAAAATTGAACGAAAGAAAATTGAAATTAAAACAAAACGAAAAAAGCAAAAATTGTTTTAATAAAAAAAAAAAAAACGTTTTTTTATACCGATTGTTTCGAATTTATCAAATCGAAAAAATGGAACAAAAAAAAAGAACAATTGTGTTTGGAAAAAATTTTCGTGCCCAGAAAATGTTTTTTGGTAATAGTTGCGTCCTTTTCCTCGTGTAGAGTTATATTTTCTACCAAAAAAAAAGAAAATGAAAAAAAAACGATACTCAAGTATCACCCAGTACCTTTTTGAGCCAAAATATAATAATGGTTCTTGCCGAGAACGAGACATCGAATTTTCACTAAATAAAAAAAAAATAAAACTTTTTTAATCCGTCGTCACTTGACACAAAACTTTGACAGCGTCAATTCCATTTGAATATGGACTTTTTAAAGCAAAAAAAAAAAAAGAGAGAGAGAGCGAAAGAAAGAAAAACGGAAAAATTGAAAGGGGGAAAAGAAAACATTTCCTTTCTTTCTAGAAATGAATAGTGGAGAAAATTATTTTTAATATCAGCTAAGATATCTAAAAATGCATATCCCATTCTTTATAAATGAATTTAAGTAGACTGTCCCTAATCGTAATTGGTAGAGCATTTGGAAATTTCAATTTTTTCTATATATGAAAAATAAATTCGAAATATTATTTTTATATCTTACTTGTCTATTTGTAAAGAAAAAAAATTACTATTATATTACAATAAGAAAAATTAGATTTTTTGATATTAATTAGTATTAATATTAAACTAATTTTCTTATAAACAAATTTTTCAAGAAAAAATTTTTATGGAAAATTTATTTTTATTCAACAAAATTGTTATTTTCATTTTAGGAATTAAATTAAACAAAATTAAAATTTAATTTACGATTTCTTATTAATTGTTAATTTTTAAAAAAAATTTGTCAATTTTTTTACTGGTATTTTTTTGACAATTTTTTTTAAACAATTTTTATTGATAATTTTTTTTACAAATTTTATTGATAATTTTTTTTACAATTTTTGTTCACAATTTTTCTCACAATTTTTAAAAATGATTTTGTATCAATTATTAAAAATGAATTATTTACTTTAAAAAATTATTGTCAGTAAGCGAAAAATAAAGTACGTTCAGACGCTTTTCATCAAACCTCGCAGGGTAGTTATAGATTTACAAATATTTATCACCGAGGCATAATTAGCATGCAAGCGTAATTAAATTAATAAAACGACATCAGTGATGTACCAAATTCTTGTCAATTCTTAGGCAAAATTTCTTTTATTAAAATTTTGCTTTACACTTGAAAATATTTTTAATTAAAATTACAATTTTATAGAAACTTTAAAAAAAAAAATTAAATTCTATTTAAAATTTTTTACAATCGAAAAGTTTTATGAATTTGGAAAAATTGTTGAAGTAGTTGAATCGAAAATTGAAAAAAGTTATTATAAATTGTATTCTAATAATTATTTTCAAGAGTAAATTTTAAAATTGTTTCAAAATTAATTAACTATTACAATAATTTAAAAAATAATAATAATTAATAAGAGAAAATTTAATTCGAAAAAGCGAAGAATTGACAAAATTTTGTGCATCGATATTTGTAGAATTTCTATAGAAATGTTTGTAGGCGTTACAATGAATGTGAAAATTGTCCAAATAACGTCAATGGGACATTTCGTGTGTCCTGAAAAATAGCTCAACGTTAAAAATTCAAGTAATTAATTACCTCATTATTCAATATTGATAATAATTAAATTTTTCGTTATATATTAATATTATTTTTATTTTATAAATATAATTTTTCGTTATTAATATTATTTTTATTTTATAAATATAATTTTTCGTTATTAATATTATTTTTATAAATATATTGTTGACTCGAGAGAAATTTAATTTGAAAATAATTATTTCTTGTCTCTAGTCATTGTAAAAATAAATTTAATTTTCATTCCTTAAGCGTATATTTGGCAAAGATAATTAAATAAAAATAGTGAGAATATTTATAGTGATATACGTGAGTAACTAGTCAAGAAAAAACGTAAATTTATTATCAGCGAGTGTTTTTAGAGTACTATTTCTTATTTTTCTTTACTTTTTTTCGAAAATTACTTTTATAATTAAGGGAATATCTTAAAACGTCCTAATACATCGACGATTTTTAACAATTTATTATCAAGATTTAATATAAAATTCCCCCTTCTCTATATTGTGTCAAGCGATAATTCCAAAGCGCCAAAAACTTTGTTTTCGAACCAAGACAGCAAAAAAAATAAAATTAATTGCTAATTAGAAAATAACGATTTTTTGTAAATTTACACAACTAGAATAAATGAAAAAGGAAAAAATTGTAGGAATTGAAATGTTATTTTTTATTGTCAGTTAAGGAAAAATAAAAAAACAATTATGTTCACTTTTGGAAAATATTGAAAATGAAGAAAAAGACACAAATAGAGAATTTCGAATGAATGATTTTTTTTTACACATAAAAATGTAATATCGAATCTAGTTTTTTCAGTCCTTATTCAGCCTGACCGCAACTAGTATTAGACTCAATAAATAATAATCAATCTTGCCCTTAAATTATTTATAGAAAACAATACTCGACAGTCAATCGAATAAGTACACATATAAATATATTATGGAAAAAAACCTTATAACTGTAGTCAATAGCAGGAAAAATAGTAATAATAATAATTAATAATAATAATAATAATAATATTTCGAACGTTTCCTGATTCTGAAATAGGTGAGGAAATCCTCGATTTTTTCACAAATCATGAAACAAAAAAAAAGAAAAAAAATATGCGAACTGAGACTGATGGCGTGTAGAATAAATAAATAAAAAATTGTTTTATATGCACTGTATCGCGATGCCTTTAGACAAATTGAATTCGAATGAGAAGTGATGTGTTATTTTAGATTCTGGAAACGAGCAAAAGCAAAATTCATCTAAAAAAAAAGAAAATTCGATTTTACAATTTTAGAAAATTTTTCTAGTTCAATTATAAATTAGAGGAAGAATTCGAATTTCGAAGTATTCTTCTCGAATTATTTTTTAACATATTTCACTCAATGACTCGATTCTTTTTGTATTTTTATTCAAATTTGCATCAAATAATATTGAAATGTTTGTTAAAATATTGTCAACTTTAATTAATAACCATGTATCGTTAGTGAAAAATTAAATATATTGATTTCAATAATTAAAATTAACATTCAGAATAAATCGAGAAGAATAAATCGATATTTCTATTTAAATTGAATTTTTCCTTAAAAAGAAAAACAATTCGTAACATTAATATTGTGACATTGTAATTATTCAACAATTTTTCGAAATGTTTTTTATATTTCATAGTGATGCATTTTGTCGACGAGATATTTTCCCCTTTTTGTATTAGAAATTTTAGAATTTAAAATATAAAACTAATTAGAAATATAAAAAAAAATTGTAAAGTAGAAAACACGTGCAAAATTTTTCAAGTTTGCAGAACTGATATTCGTTAAAAGCGTTTTGCGACAAATTGTAATTTTTAGATCCGCTATATTGTATTTACCTTTAAATGGGCAATTGATACTAATTATATTTTTTAGAAACGCAAATTTATTTAAGCTTACGCTCCCGCGATTGGAATTCGGAAATAAGAGAAAAAACAAAGGAGAACAATTTTTCAGATAATTGTATTTTTATATTTTTCTTTGTAAAACAAATAATTAATAACAATTGTATAGATAATAAGTAATTATTTACTTAATTGTAATTATATTTATTATTGTAATTAGCGTATTTTTATAATTAGTATATTATTATAATTAGTATGTTTACTATTGTAATTACTAAATTATTATAATTAGTATAATTAATATAATTAATATAATTAATAATAATTACAACCAATAATTTTTAGTGTAATTTTAAATATAATCATTATAATTAGTAATTATTTTCTAATTATAATACTCGAAAATTTTCAATTTTTCTCTCGAATTTTAAGCAAAGAAAAATTTACATATTTTTTTTATAACAAAATAAAGATAAAATGAATCGCGGGAGCGAAATGCTTTTGAGAAATTTTGAACAAAAAAACGTATAAATATATATTAATAAATAAGTGCATAGAATTTAGATTAGTGTGATACACAAGGTACGACAAAGCAATAATTTAGTGATTGTATAATATTTCATTATAGCGATTTAGTGCTAAGTTTTATGGTAATTTTGAAACCTACAATATATATAATCAACAAATCAATATAGTTTTGTAGAAGTTGCAAAAAGAAAAAAAGAAAATGCGTATTCCATTTTCAAAAAATAAAAAACCAAAAAAACAAAAAAAAATAATACTAAATGATAATTTGGAATTCAGCGAAGCGTATTTATATAGAAATGGAATTGGTCACGATAAAATTGTGACATTCTTTATTTTCGATAATTTAAGAATTATTTTCTTAACAATTTTCTCAAACTATTTAAATATTTTTTTCCAGAATTTAAAATTTATACAAAGAAATTTGTTTCGTATTTTTTAACTATTTTCCTTTCTATAGATTTAAAAGAGAAAAATTTTGGCATTCGCTGGAGAACTAATGGAATTTTTGAAAATATATTAAAAAAAAAAAAAATGCCAAATGTTTAAATAATTGTGAATTTTTATTTTTTATAAATATTTGTGTAGAGAGAATTAAATTAGTAGAAAAAGTGTTTTTCTGTGTCTTTTTTTTGAAATTATTGCACAGCGAGTGACAAATATCACTTTAAAATATACGAACAATGGAACAAAACTCAAAATTTATATTACAAAAAAAATATAACCCCGACCACGTAGTTAACACACGTGTTTTTCAATTTTATTACGAGTATCTGTGTACATGACAGTAGCGCAGAATAAACCAATGTTCTGAAGAAAAAGTAATTCTTTTCCCCTTAATATTCATTTTTTTCTTTCGAACTTTCTTTTTCTTTACTTCAATTTTAAACTAATTTTTGAATAAAGACAGGATTGACACAGGTCAGGAAAATCAGGGAAAAGTCGGGGATTTTTGTTAAAAGTACTGCAAAAAAATTAAATGTTTAGAATTTATAAGAAAATTCTTTGTGTTTTTGTTTGTTTCATAAACTATGAAATTACCATGAATTTTAAAAAAAAACCTTAAATTCTTTCTATTTCTGACAATAATTTATTTTAAATAACTTAATTTTATTGAAGAACTGCCATAAAGTAATTATTTATAAATCATTAAATGAATTATTTTTTTGAAAAACTTTAATTTAAATTCTGTTGAAATTAGTTTTAATTTTTAAAATTTTAAAGCAATTATTTGAAAGAATTTAATTATCTTAATAAACATTAAAATTCTTTTCAGAAATTCAATTATTTTCAAAATTTTTTTAAAAATTCTCTTCAACATTTTAATTATCTTTAAAAAATAGAAAAATTCTTCGCCAAAATTCAATTATATTCAGGAATTTTTATAATATTCATTGTAAAATTCAATTATATTCAGGAATTTTTTTAATATTTATTGTAAAATTCAATTATTTTCATAAATAATAATATTTATTACAAGAATTCAATTATTTTGAAAATTAATAAAATTCTTTGCAAAAATTCAATTATTTTCAAAGATTCAAAAAAAATTGTCAACATTTCAATTATCTTTATAATTGAATAGCAAAATTCTTCGAGAAAATTCAATTATTTTCAGGAATTTTAATAAAATTCATTGCAAAATTCAATTGTTTTTATAAATAATATTATTCGTCATAAGAATTCAATTATTTTTTAAAGCAATAAAATTCAATTATTTTCAAAAATTTTAATAAAATTCATGGCAAAATTTCAATTATTTTCAAAAAATTTTCTTAATTCAATGATTTTCAATATTCTACTATTTTAATAAAATTTCTCAAAAGAATTCAATTATTTAAAAACAATTTTGACAAAGTTCTAAACGAATATTTAATTATCTTCTAAAATAATGAAAATTTCACAGGAATTCAATTATTAAAAATAGAATTTGCATACATTTCTTCGAAAAAAATCAATTGTAAATTTTTTATAAAATTCTTTGCAATAATTCAATTATTTTCATAAATAATAAAACTCATTGCTGAATTTCAATTATTTTTAATACAATTTTTATCAAATTCCTCAAAAAATGTAATTATTAATAAAAATTCTATAAACATTCGTCGAAAAAATTCAGTTATTTATAAATTTGTTAATAAAATTCTATATTTGAATTAAATTTTAAGAAACATTCATTCATTTATTCAATAAATTATTTACATTTGTATTTAAATAATTGAATTCTCGTAGAATTTTCTAATAAAAATTGATTTAAAAATTAAATTCAAAGTTTTAGATTTAACTTTGGAGAAGTTATTAATAATTGGAATTTTTAGAAATAATTGAATTTTGTAAAGATTTCAAATTAAGATCTTTGAAAATTTGAATTTTTCATACCTTTAATTAAAAATTCTGTGAAACTAATTTTCTTCAAAAAGTTTAATCAAAATTTTTTAAAATTATTTCAAGTTTTTATTTTCTAATGTATATTTAATTGAAGAATTTCCGAATAATTGAAATTTCAGGTAAAATTGAATTGTAAACAAATGAATTTGAAAATTCTCAAAAGAACTTTATCGTAAATTATTAGAATTTTATTTTAATATTTAGAAAATAATAATTGAATTAAAATGATGAAAATAATTTTTAAGAAATTACAGTAACAATATTTTTATATTATAGATAATATAAAATAATACTATTACTTCGAGTCGAAGACTCGGAGTGATCCATTTCTTCATGTTTTGTAATAATATTCTTTCGAATTTTCGATTTAAAAATAATTATTAAGCATAGTTGAAAGAACATTAATTTTAAATGTAAATTTCATTCAAAAATTTCGAAAAATTTTTCGAAATGTTGAAATCTTTTCGTCTCTGGTCCCAATTTAACAGCAGCAAATCTGAAAAAAAATTATTTTGAAAAAGAATTCTTTTAAGAATTTAGGAAAAAATAAACGTTTATTACCTTTTTTTATATTTTTTCTGTTCGCCAATTACGAAAACAAAAAGAATTCCCCTCATTTGCAGATTTGAGAAAAATTTACAAAATTTACAAATTTACAAATTTCAATTTTTTTATATTTTATTCTTTAAACTTCACAAGCACAAAAATTAACAAACAAACTCCATATTTTCGTCTCTTTTTCTGCAGTTGTATAACCAATTGTACTATAATTATTCCTTTAAAAAAATCACTAAAGAATAATTTTCATAAAGTGCCTCTATATATAAAAAAAAGGTAAAATAAATACTAAATTTCTAAAAATCTAAGAAACGACTCCAATTTTCAAAATTAGCGCGCATAATAATTTTTCTTTTTTTTAAAAATGAAAAAAACTTGAATTACTTATTCACAGTTTTTGCTTTTATTTTACAATCGTTTTCAGCTCACAGCTGATAAATATATTGTGACATTTTTTTGTTTTTTCAATTCAGTCACCACTAAAACGTAAAAAAATCTTTTTTCCAAATTAATTAAAATATACTCGTTTCAAAAATTAATCAGGCGCTTAAATGAGATCTGTTATTTAAAAAAAAATAAAAAAAAGGCTTAACAGTTTTCTTTCAACAAAATATAGGGGGGATTAATTTCACAACGAAAATTATTCAAAATTTCTTACAAATATTGAAAAAATTGAGGAAAAAAAAATTATACGTGACTATATGACAAGTATGTGTGAAAAAGAAAAATGCTTAGTGCGCCATTAGCATTTTTAAATCGAAATGAGTTATTTCTAAATTATATGTATATATAATTTTTTATATGTATATATATAATTTTATATATATAATTTTATATATGTATAATTATATATATACATTATAATTTATATATATGTAGATATTTAACTATAATACAAAGTACAAATTGTGTTATATAATAAGGACATTGCTCTCGAGAGGTATAAAAATTAAAATCACGGTTGAGGTTGATTTTTAGTTTGTTTTGGTGTTTTACGCGGGGGCGATGTTTCTTTGTCTAAATTACTTTTTTCACTTTCTTTTTCGGCTTCTGCTTCTTTATCCTCTTTCGATAAATTCCAATCCTTTAAACCCTTTGGAAGCGATGTGTCTTCCTCGAAGGAGCCAGTGCCCTCGACAAATTCTTCGTACGTCGATAATTCCTTGAATGGTCGCGGTCCCAATGTTTCTATCATATCCTCCCTGCTCAATATTTCCTGTTTTAATAATCGCTCTGCCACCTAAAAAAGCAAGCAAACTATTTATTTTTCTATTCTATTTATTACTTTGATAATAAATTTGGATAATTTTGGATTTTGAATAATTATAAATTAAACAATATTTTTTATCACCTTAATTACGTCATTTTTGTGATCTTCCAAAACTTGACGAGTTCGTTTCTTCGCACTGTCGATCATTTTTCGCGCCTCTTGATCGATCATTTGCGCAGTATTTTCCGAATAAGGTTTATCTGTATAGGGCGACCCTTGCTCCGGCATTTCGAAACTGACATTTCCAATTTTCTCATTCATTCCGTAATGAATTATTTGCGAGTAAGCCATTTTCGTGATCTGTAGATTAAAAACATTGTTCGATCAAAAAATATGAATAAAAGTAAAGAACTTACTTTTTAAAAAAAGTACTTATCTTTAAAAGTAAAGAACTTACCTTTTGTAAATCGTCCTGTGCACCGGTCGTTATTCGTTTAAAGAACATCTCCTCGGAAACACGTCCACCGAGTGTCATACACATTTTATCGAATAATTGCTCCTTCGAGTAGAGATATTGTTCGCGTGGCAAATACTGTGCATAACCCAAACCCTTCCCTCGTGGAATAATAGAAACTTTAATGAGAGGATCCGCATGCTCAAGGTACCAACCAGCGACAGCGTGACCTGCCTCATGATAAGCCACCGTTTTTTTCTCATCCGGTTGTAGGACTTGCGATTTTTTCTCCATACCAGCAATTACTCTCTCAATTGCTTGCTCGAAATCGTGTGAATCGACTCCTGATTTTAAATTTCTAGCCGCTATTAATGCCGCCTCATTGCACACATTAGCAATATCCGCACCTGTAAAATAATTCCTTTGTAATATAATATTTCCAACCAAAAAAAAAAAGGAAAGAAATTCCAATATTATAAAATCTTTACACCTTTAAAAAAAACTTGATAACACTTTTCTGGGTGAATATCACTTACCAGTGAAACCGGGTGTGCGGGACGCCATTTTTCTCGATAATTCATTTTTATCCATTGTAGTTTTAATGGGCGCTAAATGAATTTTGAAAATTGAGGCACGTCCCTTGATGTCGGGCGCTGGTATGAAAATTTGCCTATCGAATCTACCGGGTCGCATTAGTGCCTTATCCAAAACGTCCACTCGATTCGTTGCCGCTAAAACAACCACGTTCGTTGTCGAATTGAAACCTGAAAAAAAATTATTTTTAATTATAATTAGATTAATAAATTGAAATTAATATTTAAATAAATGTTTTTTGTCTTTGTTTTTTATCTTTCTCTTAATATTTACCGTCCATTTCAACGAGAAGTTGATTTAATGTGTTTTCTTGCTCCGAATGTCCGCCCCAAGATCTTCCACCGCGCTTCCTACCAACGGCATCGATTTCGTCGATAAATAATATACAAGGCGCATTTTTTCTAGCCATCGCGAACATGTCTCGGACACGCGACGGACCAACGCCAACGAACATTTCCAAAAATTCGGAACCGGACACTGTAATGAAAGGCACATTCGCCTCGCCCGCTGTCGCCTTTGCCAATAACGTTTTTCCCGTTCCCGGAGGACCTGGAATTTTTTTACACTAATTTAATTTTTTAAATTCTTTCAGTGTACTTCAAACAGAAATTTAATAAATATCTAAATAATTAAATACAATAAACTTAAATTGTTACTAAAGTTAATAAAATCAATACTCATAATAAAATTAATACTAAAATTAATAAAATTGATACTAAAATTGATATTAAAATTAATAATTTAATTTTAATACTAATTAAAATTAAATTAATTAATATTTAAGATTTCTAATCTAAAATTTACCAGTTAACATTGCCCCCTTGGGAATTTTAGCACCAAGATCCAAATATTGCTGTGGATTTTTCAAAAAGTTGACAAATTCCATGATTTCGATTTTAGCCTCTTCGCAGCCGGCAACATCCCTAAAAGTTTAACAATAAAAGACGAGATTAAAACCCTTTCTTAAATAATTATTTACCAAAAATAGAAATTTTAACAGTAGAAAAACTAATAGTAATTTTAATTATAAATTTCTCTAAAAATAGAAAACAGAAAGTATTGAAAATTACTTGAATCGAACTTCAATGTCTTTGTTGTTGATTAATTTTGCATTGGAATCCATAACACCACCGAAAAGTCCACCTTTTTTACCTCCCCTGCCACCCATCATTTGAGCGGAACGATTGAAACCGTACAATAAAAATCCTAGAAAATGAATTAAAAAACGAATTTAAAAAAAGAAAAATTAACGTTTTTGTTAAGTAAAAAGCGAAGAATTAAACGAACCAATAAGAATAAGTGTTGGTAAATAACCAATAAGGTGTGAGGCCTCCAATTCAACTTTATAAATAACTGGTATATAATTTTGCGGTTCCACATTCAATTCAAGCTGCGCGTTCTCCAAATTTCTCTCAAAAGTATCGGCACTGCCAATATTAAACCACAAAGTCTGCAATAAAATTAAATTCGAAAAATAAATAAACTAAAGGTAAATAAATATTATATTTGTTAATAAAAATTTAATTTTAATTATAAACAAAATATTATAATTATGTTATGAACTATTTAGTTAATTCTATTATTAGATAATTATTATCAATTAATTATCCATTTAAAACTATTTAAATATGAAATAACAAAAAATAAATTCTTTAAAAATATGTTTCACATTAGGCGCTAATGTTTTTGGTAATGAACTTTCCTTTTTTTCTGAGATAAGATTATCAAAGTAATTTGAAAAACATTACCGAGTTATCGGCCGACGCTCCTGGAGCAAGACGAACGCGGACCCATTTTTTATTAACAACCTCTAATTGTTCCACGGATCCTCTATTTAAGTAACTGAAAGGAAAATTTAATGATAAAAAGAAAATTCTCTCCTTCTAGAAAAAAGGAATTTTTTTTCAGAAAATTGTTTCTTAAAGAAAAATATTTTTTATATTACTTATTTAAAAAATCCTTCCAGGTAATTTCTCTTTGTTTTGAATTGACTAAAGTTGCCAATATAATACAACAAGTAAAACCTCCGACTGCATAAGGAATCCATTTTTTATCACCACTATTAAATGGTTTATCTCCCATTCCTCGTGGTCCACCACCACCTGCACCGCCTCCACCACCTACTCCTCCTTCTCCCAAACGAAATCCAAATTTAATACGAAATCCACTTGGATCATCTTTATTTGGTTTTAACGCTTCTTTCGGCGGTTCATTTTTTCCACTTTTTCCACTACATTTGACATTTTGTCTCTTTCCACCTAAAATTTGTCAAGATAAATAGAATAGAATAGAAGATTTTAAAAAAATTAACTAAGATTAGTAAAAATACAATTTTTCGATAATTTTGAAAAAGATAAATTAAAAACAGATTTTTTTTTACCCAATCTGAATAAATATTCAAAATGTTTTCGAGATTTCTCCGAATGTAATTGCAACTGTTGATGAAGATGTTCAAGAGCCGATAATTTTTTATTATTTAACATCGTTAATCGTCTCCATAGCTGTAACAGAAAATAAAGAAAACAATTATAATCATTACATAACAAAGTAAAATATTTATTTTATAAAAGCAGAAAAAAAATAAAATCTAAATATTCTCTATATCACTTTCTCATTAATGTTGGAAACTATTTCACAAAATTGAACAACATCAATGTTACATAAACACAAAATTACCAAAAATTAGTGAAAACTACATCATTCAAGAAAATGGAACAAAAAATTGTTTATTTCGTCTCTAGTAATTAATTCTCAAAAGAGATATTTACTATTTTATTTAATTGTTCATTTGAAATAACGTGATTTTAATAATAAAAATTATTTCCAATGAAAAAATAATTTTTAGGTTAGGTCATTATGTTTCGAGTACTCACCTGAAAATCAATTCTTCCCTTTTGTGTAGAATTAAAAACAATTCTTTCAACTCTGCTACCTAATGATAATAACAAATGGGCCATACTGTATTCATTAATTTTTAAATATTTATTACAAAAAATTGTTGAAATTAATTTTTAGACACTGTCAATAACACACACCGGTTAAAGTCTGTCCACCATTTTCTAATCCTCTGGTCATATTTTCAATGCACGACACATGCGACATTAATCGTAATTTGGAAATGAGCCTTAATAATTTATAAAAGCCAGTTCTCAACATGTTTCTGTCAGTCTGGTTTTAAATTTCTTTAAAAACAATTTTTAGTTTTGTGAAATGTAAACATTTGCAAATTTTCTCAATTAATTTTACAAGTCGGGAATTTTGATCATTTTTAGTAAATTTTGTGAACGGGGGCTAATTTGGATACTGGAGAATTTTGAAAAATGTGAGTAGTATTTTATTAATTTTGTCTAAACTAAATAATAGAACATTTGAACGTTTATGTGAACGATGTAAACAAAAATTTTATAACCTATTTCTGTTTTTTTTATGTTAAGACATTTTTAAATTTTATACATTAGAGAATGTTTGCAATTTTTTTTTAATTATTAAATAATTTTTACAGGTAATTTTCATCATTTTAGTGTAAAATTTGGATGATTTCGACGATTTGGACAATATTCTACAATGGAGAATTTCGAAAAATGTGAGTAGTATTCTATTTTTCTAAAATAAATAATAGAACATTTAATAACATTTTTCGCAAGAATTTCATTATTCTCATAAGTAATAATATTTTTTAGAGCAATTCAATTATTTTCAAGAGTTTTAATAAAAATTCAATTATTTTCAACAATTCTAATGATAAAATTCTTTAAAACAATTCAATTATTTTAATAAATTGTAAAATTCTTCTGAGAAATTCAATTATTTTCAATACAATTTTAATAAAATTTCTAGAAAAAAATTCAATTATATTTAAGATAATTTTAATAAAGTTTCTCTAACAAGTTCAATTATTTTTAAAAATTGTAATAAAATTTTTCTAAACATTTTAATTGTTCTGAAAAGTTTTTAATAAAATTCTCAGTAAATTTCAATTATTTTCAAAAATTTCAATTAAATTTTTTTTAAAAAATTGCATTTATTTTTACAAAATTTAATGAAATTCTTAAAAAAAATGTAATTATTTACAAAAAGTCCAATAAAATTGTTTAAAAGAATTTAATTTTCTGTGAATAATTTTAATATAATTTAATAGGAAAATTATTAATTTCAGTTTATAATAAACCTGATTATTTAAAAAACTTGAAAGAAAATCTTCATAAAATTTAATTACTTTCAAAATTTTCAGTAAAAATTAATTTTTAAAAACTCCATTATTTTCAAGAAAATTGAAATAAATTCTTTAAAACAATTCAATTATTTTTAATTTTTTGTTTAATACTTTGCAAGAATTTAATTTTCGGATCATTAATTATTTGAATAATTAAGTAGCTACAAAATATAAATATGCAAATTTTTATTTCCAAAAAAAAAATCGTATTTACAGAATTAAAAACAAAGAGAAGAATTATTTTAAGTTAAAATAGAAATTTAAATTTCCATTAATTCATCGGCGTCGGTTAACATTTCGTGAGAATGTTCCTGACCAGTTGAGACGGTAAATTTTGCACCTACTAAACAATTTTTTAAGACAGTTTCGTTCTCAATGACACATCCATTGCAGAGAATGCTGTTAATAATCGCACACCTGTTTTAAAGAAAAAAAATAATTAGAGAAAGTTAAAATTATTTGATCTTTAATTAAAAGATTAAAAAATGTTTAAATTAATCATTGATTTTAAATTAAAAATTGTTTCTTACTTCTGCTTAATCGTCACATTGTCCATAATTATACTATTTGAAATTCTCGTTTTTGTCTCAACTGTAGACTTGGCACCAATATTGCTTTCTTTCAGTGATGTTTTTTCGTCAATTAAAACATTATTGTCAATACGACAATCTTGAAGTTGAGTACTTTTTACAGTTGCGTTTGGAGATATTTTCGAGTCATTGCTTCCGAATTCCCACCATTTATCGATCTAGATTTAAATATTTTCAGTTTGATTTTTATTTAGAATTAAAAATTGAAAATTTTAAATGGTTACAAAACCATTTAAATTTACTTTTTTTCCTCTTGATCAATTAAATAGAAAAGTTTTTAAGGGAAATCTTACCGTAGCGTTTGCTAAACTGTACATTTGGATCGTATTCGCCCTCAGACCACATTGTTCAGTGACTTTATAAGCATAACATCTGATAATATCGTCGTGATAAGAATTGTCTAAACTCGAATTACAATCGTTAAAGGAAGACATTTCCCTACTAAGTCCATCCAAATAAGTCTCACTACAAAAACGTTGAATATCCTCCTTTATATTCAATTTTACAATCGAAGTATTCTTGTCATCCACAAAGCATTTTGGCGGTTTTGCCAATTGTTTGGATATGATGTACGGTAGAAAATCTCCCTTTATCGAAATAAAACTCCTGAAAACAAAATTTTTGTATTAAAAGAAAAAAAAGGAAAAAAGAAAGGAAAAAACAAAGAAAAAGAGAAAGAAAAAAAGAAAGAGAATTAATAAGAGAGAAAAATAATAATCGTGAACGTCAAAATATAAATTCCTTACTTATTAAAAGCCAAATACTTCAAGACCCATTTATTCATAACATAAAGATGTGCATCCAACAGTTTCGAATGAATATTAAAATCCGTATGCTTCTGCGATAATCTCGCAGGTAAAAAGACATTCTCCTCAAAATCAGAAGCCGATGCAAAGAAAACCAATCGATTTGTCTTTGCCTCAATGCCAATTAAATCGGTCTCTGGTTTTTGTTTACTTTTCGGTCCAGCAATAATGGTGTCATCAGAAATTTTCGGTACCGGAAGCATTAATGCCGTTATACTCGCATTATGTTTTCTATATAAATTCAAAACAGGTGTTATATCAACATTTGCGATTAAATCGCAAGAAATGACTAGACAATCTTTTTTCACTTTCTCATAAATAAGACGCATCGAGTCAGCAGTACCTAAATCATCCTCTGAGACACCAATCATTTCGAGTTTAATTTTAAGACTCAATTTATCTAGTGTTGAAATTATTTCACTTTTCGATGATTCGGCAACAATAATAAATGCCGTATTAAACCCTGTTTTCTCCAATAGTCTCAGTGGATACCAAATCATTGGATAATTACCAATTGGAAGTAAACACTTTGGCTTTCCAGCTGTGAGTTCCATCATTCTGGAACCTTTCCCAGCGGCTAGTACCACTGCCTCGAAATCACCCACTTGCATCATTTTTAATAATTTGTTAACCTTTGTTATTTCGAACAATTATTTTCTAATATTTCACTAAGGGGAGTATAGAATTTGAAGAATTTTAAGAGTGCAACAAGCAACAAGCATTGCGAATATTTGTACATAACCTAGAAACTTGGAATTTAAATGACAGATTGCATTGAAGCGTGCCCACCAATCAGGAACGTGGATTATTTGCAATGGCCAATCGGATTTCACCGACGACACGAAAACGACCGAAGTTAAACGAACTGTATTACGAATTTCAGGCGCGACTTTTACGAATATTCAAAATCAGACGTCGGATATTTTGACTTTTTCGATTTTTTTCGACTATTTTCAAATAATACGACTTTTATCGACTTATATTAAAAAAATTGCGACTTTTTCGACTTTTCTTCCAAATTTTGCGAAATGCTATATATTTTTAGTATAAAATGCAACTTATTTCAATTTTTATAGTGTAAAAAGCATAACAATAGACAAATCTTTAAAAATTTATTTTTGAATAATTTTTCTAATTAAATTTTTGAAATATACAATTAAAAAGATTTTGAATAATTGAAATTTTGTAAAATTTAATTGAAGATAAATCATTTTTTCAAGTATTTTATTACAAATTTTTAAAACATATCTTTTACAGAATTTTAATTGAAAATTTTGGAAGTAATTGAATTATCAAAAATTCTAATGAATAATCTTTAACTAAAAAAGAAAATTAATGAAATTTCGTTTTAATTTTGTAAAATTCAATTGTTTTCAATATTTTCAATATTTCAGAAAATTCAAATACATACATAAAATAATAACATTAAAATTTTTTAGAATTATTTTTAACATTTTAGAGAAAATAAACATATTTAAAATTTTTAATTAAAATTCTTCAGAAAATTATTTTTTCTTTTAATTATATAAAGATTTTTCAATTATTTTCGAAAAATTACATTACAATATTTATAAAAAAAATAATTCTTAGAATTTTTTATCATTTTTTTTTAAGATTCAATTATCATCGAACAAATTCGAAGAAATTAAATTTTTCAAAAATTTACTATTTCAGAATTTTTAAAAAATCATTTATAATTAAAACTCTTCAAAAAATTTCATTATTTTTTAAATAAAAATTAAATTAAAAATTTTTGGAAGGGTTTTAGTTTTAGTTTTTGGAAATTATTAAATTTCAGAAGTTGACATTTTTTTAATTTCATTTCTCGTGAAAAAAGAAATAAGAAATATTTAAATATTTATTTAGCAAAATTATTCAAGTTTTGATTAAATGAATTTAGAAATCAGTGAAGAATCAAAGAAATACAAAATAAAATTTTTGTGACAATACTAAATTAAATAAACGACTTTTTCGACTTTTTCGACTTTTTTTTCTATTTTTAATCGACTAAAGCGATTTTTTTTGCTCGTTAAAGTCAATCTGAGGACTGAAAATAGAAAACTGTTCTTTTTTTAAATAAAGATTTCGATAAATGGTGGGAAATGAAAAAAATCAGTATTCAATTAAAACAATAACAAATACATATATTTCTCGAAATGTGTTACACAAGATTTTCATGCTGATGATGGTCATTTTCACATCGTTTTTTTTTTGTGTTTCATTCTTTTTTTTTTGTGTGTGGATCGGATGACATCGTCTTAAACTTCCATTATTTTTTCTTTACTCAGTTTCATACAAACTACGGCTCAATGCGTTTAATTTAGTTTACAAAGATATTTTCTTTTTGTCAATTAAAACTGTGAGCGTAATTAAATAGCGTACTATTTAAATTCCGCTACAACTATCAATTTTCTAGTACATTTTTTTTTTATTTCTCCATTTTTTTACTCTCTATTGTCCAATCGTGCTAGATTATTAACCGTGCATCTTTTTTTTTAATCTCGAAAATCAAGACAAAATAAGCATCTGACTATTTACATCTTTTTTTTGGGGAAAATTCGAGTTTTTTTTTTTGTTTGACAAATATTCATTTTATTTCAATATAAAAAAAATTGTAAATGACTAATTTCGATGTAGTTGCTTTTTTTCTTGATAATTTAATTTTGCTTGTAATTTTGTTTTGTAATTTTCGATGCATGATTTTTTTTTTGTTTCTTTTTTTAGTAAATAGAAATTTTTTTTTCGACGACGCAAATTTATTTCTACAGAGACTCAGCAATTTGCACGGATTTCGCATTTTTTTTCTTTTAGTGGCGCACGCTTTTCGAATTTATTAATTATTAATTATTAATTACTAATTAATAATTATTAATTAATAGTTAAATTCGAAAAAAGTTTGATCGATTTTTTAACAATTTTTTTTCGGAGCCACTATTGACGCGCGAACATACAGCGGATTAATTATTTTAAAAAAAAATTCGAAGCGTAGATCTCAGAAAATGAATGTATGAATAAAAAACACGATTAATGAGGAAAGGAGCGATATTTTTAAATCCTTTTTTTTTTTTTTGTTGTAAATAAGAAAAATTTGAAAGTTTGATCGATCACTGATTTTTTTAATTTGATTCTGCTCTCTTTTGATAAAGGGAAAAACAAATAAGCGCAGAAAAAAAATTTCCTTGTTTTTTTTTAAATATTAAAAAAACAATTTTTGCCGAATCTCTGGCTCTAGGACATTTTTTTACAATGGTTCAAAAACAAAATGCATTACAATATTTTCTTTTTTTCTTTCCGTTATAACAATTTTTCTGTATTTGAATTTATTTTTTCATTAGAAAATTTCTCGGATAAAATTTCACATTTTAAAAGAAATCAAAAAGATTGTAATTTCAATAAAAAAAAAAGAAAAAAAATATTTTTGAACCATTTTCTTTACTACATTATTAACAATTTAAAAAAAAACATGACAAATTGACATGTCAAACACACTACATGATTTTTTGTTTCATTTCGACTTCAGTTTTTTTTTGTTTTCATCTATTAGAACAAAATAAACATCTAAAAACTTAAAGAAGAAGTAGAAGACCCTTGAAATGGTCTTGCGTTGAAAAACGATGGGTTTTTTTTTTGTAAATTTTATTCGCAGCCATTAATATCTTTTTTTCTTAACAATTTTTCAATGAGTCTTGAGAATAGTTACACGCATTTTTTTAAAAATGATTTTCCATTCGTTTTAATTTTTTCTTCTCTTGTTCTCATTTAGAATTATAAATTTTCTGTTTAGGAAGAAAGAAAAATAGTATGTCGTGAATTCTTCATTAAAAACTAAGAAAAGTATTTGAATTCTTTTTATTAATAGGAGAAAAAAAATTAAAATAGTAATTGAGAATCGCTATTATGTCACCATCACCATGTAGGGGATATTTTTATTTAATCCTAACGATTCTGAAGTAGTATAATAAAGCGAAATAATTATTTTTCTTTTTTCAAAAACAGAAAATTTATTCTGTTTTCACTATCAGAAATTTTGTAGGTATTTTATTTTTTTACTTCGTTTTAATATTCAAGGCTCTTTCTTTCTCTCAAAATTTTACTTTTGTATTCTCTCTCTTACGACTTTCGTTTTCAAAATTTATACAATGAGGTTAATATTTTTTTACATTTTAAAATTGTTATTGAGTAAATACTAAATTAAGGGATGAGTTTAGGAAATAAAAAAAACGATAAAATTAGAAATACTTATTATTAAACTTGTGCCAGATGCAATAAATATAATGGATGTAAATGGTCACTTATTTTAAAGAATAAGTTCTTTTTTTTATATTATCACCGTAAATACTAAATTCGAGTACAAATTTTCTATGTTTAGTATCTTTTTTCGACGTATTCGAAAAATATTGTTTTTAAATAATTTAAATATTTTTTTTTGACCAAAGAGTTTACGAGAAACTTTCAATTAAGTTGAACAATTTTTATAAAATTATATTTCTCGGTTAAAATTTACCAATTTTAAATTAATTAAATAATTAAATATGTAAATAGTAATAAATTTCCATTAAATTCAGCAAAATTATCAACTTAACTCCAAATGAATTTAATTAACATTTATTTAAAATTAATTTCGAAATTAAATAAACTTTGAATTAATTTCGAAATTTAATTTTGTTTCATAATTGAAATTAAAATTTAGTTCACGTCTGACACTACATTTTTTTTAGCTCATCAATAAATTCGAAATTTTAAATTGAATTTTTTCAATGCTGAAAAAAAATGAATATTTTAAAAAACAAAAATGTTTCTACGATAAAATTCAAACAAGACAAATTCAACAAGAATTTTTCTACAAAAAAATTATAATATATATACAATATTTTTACAACATAGAGAATTCTATATAATAGAAAATTTCTAATAAACAAAAGTTTGTAGAAAAAGGAAAATTTTCCTCAATAGAATTTTTTTTTCTTTCGACTAAAAAATATTCTTAAATAAAATTCTCAAAATATATTTTTTTTAAAGAAAAAATTCTCATAACAAAAACATTTTCGAAACAAGAGTTTCGTAAAAATTTTAGAAACTCAATACTCACACAATTTGCTAATAAAGCAACAATTTTCGAAATAATTTCAAAATTAAAATTTTCAAAATATTAATATAGATTTTTTTTCATAAAAATTGCACAATTTTGTTTAAAAAAAAACGTAAAAAAATTGCACTTGAATAAATCTCATTTCTTTAAATAGTAATTTTTAATTCAAGTGATTTTTTTTAAATATAATTTTCTTCTATTTTTTTTTTTAATTTGGCAGTGCTATGTGATTAATGTAAGAAAGCCAGGGGACTTTTTTTCTATAAAACTATAATAATATTAATAATAATTAAATCGAGAGACAAAAGAAAAATAAATAAATAATTAAGAGTTGAAAACGAAAGTGGAAAAGAGAGAGAATGAGAGATTTTTAATTTTCGTATGGATGAAAACTTTGACAATTTTCATATAATTATCGCAATTAGTAGTCACCAGTTCGTAAGTGATTTTTAATCAAAAAAATTTCAACATCTCAAATTGTGTCACCAAATTTGAGGCTCGAAACATTTACTCAACATAAACCTAATTTAGTCAACAAATTTTTTATTTTGATCAACAATTTTTAATTGATTTGGAACTGCAATAATTGAAAAATTTTGTTCAATTTAAATTTAACTTATTTTTCCTTTTTTTAAATTTTGTTTTCTTTTTTCAATTTAATTTTTCCTTTTATTAATTTAATTTTTCTTTTTTTAATTAATTTTTCATTTTAATTTAATTTTTCTTTTTTTTTGATAAAATTTCCTTTTTTTAATTAATTTTTTCCTTTTCTTAATTTAATTTTTCCTTTTTTTTTTGATAAAATTTCCTTTTTTTAATTTAATTTTCCTTCTTTAATAAATTTTTCTTTATTTAATTTAATTTTTCTACTTAAATACAAGATATAAAATTTGAATTTCTATCATTAATTTTTTTTGTTGATAATTTAAATTTAATTACATATTGTTAAAAGTTAATTTTGAACTTTTTCTTTACTGTTTTGCCAGATTTGAAATTATTATCAAAATTTTTATTTTCCAACAAAATTTTTCATTTATTGTCAAACATTTTTAATTACTGACAACAATTATTTTTTTAAAAATTATTGCCAAAAAAAATGAAAATTTCAAATATTGCAAAAATCTTTTTATTTACAATTATTGACAAAAAGTTCTTTCGTTCAACTTTAGTGAAGTTTATGAAGTTTACAATATTAACGATTTAGTAGAAAAAATTCTTTCTGTTAACTTTAGCGAAATTTATAACGTCTACAATTAACGATTTAGTTTGGAAGAATCTTTTTCTCTAGAAACTTTTTTAGATATTTCATTAAGTTTACGTTTACAATTAATAATTTACAAGAGAAATATTTTTTTCTATGAAAATTTTTATAGATATTTGCGCTTGGAAAATTTTACAACTTTTTTGTCAAATATTTCAAACAAAAGGAAAAGACAATTAGAGCTAAATATTATTTTCTATGAAAATTTTTGTAGATATTTTCGCTTGGAAAATTTACAACCTTTTTGTCAAATATTTTAAACAAAAGGAAGAGGAGAAAAATTTTTATTTCCATGTGAGAATGAATTATTTTCTTCAATTGTTGATTATAAACATTATGAACTTCACCGACGTTTTAAAGAAAAAAGAAAATTGAATTATTATGTAAAATTTAAAATTGTCACAGTTTTTTTCCTGAAGCGGGAAATACAATTTGCCTCGCAATTTGCAAATAATTAAAATGTTTCTTTTTTGAGCCTAAAGTTTAATTGAGGCCTTGGATCCAATAACTCGCCCGACGCTCGAAGGCACGCGCTAATACCAGTCGGGTAGCAGTGAGTGGCCCAGAGGCGCTCACTGCTCACTGACTGGCAGTTGCGCGTTCCTCCGAGCGTCGGGCGAGTTATTGGATCCAAGGCCTCAATTGTATTTTCGGAGCCTGTATTAAAACTTGATCGTTAATTTTTTTAATGCGAGATTTATTTCATTTAACATACGTGTGGGTCGTTTTTCTCTCGAGTTTTTTTTTTAATCATTCTGTTGATTTTGTTTAATTGTATATTATAATATACCTGCTATTATAGGATTTCTATATCTGTAAATATGCGTGAAATTTTGTTTTTCTCTCTCTCTCTCTTTCTCTCTCGGTAGGCGCAGATACAATTATTTAATAAACAATATATCTTTTTCTCTGTCCTAGTATTGTTCATACTGTATTAGGATATATCGATATCATTTATATTTATATATTTATATATAATCTAACTATACATATAACTATGTACAAGTGATGAAAAGAGGACAATAATAATTGTGTATGGGGGTCAGGGGGGAAAAAAAGAAAAGAGGGAAAGGAGTAAAAAAGGATCGGAGGAAGGAGGGATTTTTGGACGAGAGGAAGACGACAGAGATAAAGATATTGCGCAAAAAAAAAGGAAGTAAAAATTAAGGGCACTGCTTCTTTTCTTCTTCTTCTTTTCCTCTCTTCTCTTTCTTTCTCCTTCTCTCTCTCTCTCTTTTCTTTATCTTCCTCGTCGTCCGTCTCTTTTTCTCACTAATTTTCCAATATTCTGCGCCTTGATTCATCCAAAACTTTTTCTCCTTTTTTCCCCATTTCTTTTTCTTGAAAATCTTTTCTCAATTTTTTTTTTCTTTCGAAAAACTATTTCTTTACAAAAAATCTATTTCTTTTACGATTAACTCTGCATGTTTTTCGAAAAATTTCCTGCTGTCCTTCTTTTGAAATAGTTTCCTTTGGTTTTCTTTTTTTTTTCTTGAGTAGGAAAAGATTTTTTTCGTGAGTTTTTTTCTCCTTTTTCTTGTTTCAAAAAGAAAAAAATGTGTCCTCGTTTTTCTTTTTTTTTTCTTTTTTGAGTGTATGTGTGTGTGAATTTTTTTTCTACGACGCGGTCATGACTTTCGTAAAATGACTACAAGTGCGGCGAGAAAGAGTCGACGAAGAGCAAGAGCAGAAATACTCTCCCGGTTAGACGTCCGTGTATTTGCTGAGCTTATCACGAAGTAACATGTTCTCGTTCTTTAACCGGTCCAACTCCTGCCGTAGGCCCATGTTCTGCAAAAGAAAATCGAAACATTAATTGAAAAAATCGATTTGAATTTTTTTCTTTCTTTTTTTTTTTGTTATGAAAAATAATTATTCATTTGCGAAACTATTGTTTTTTTATTTTTTTGTTTATTTTTTCTGTATTTATTTTTTAGTTACTTTGCTTTATTAAATGAAGAAATAAATGAGTAAATAAATTGAGAAATAAATAGAGAAATTTCTCTAATTTATTTTTCTATTTATTTATTTCTCAATTTATTTATTTCTCATTTTATTTACTCATTTATTTCTATATTAATTTCTATATTTATTTTTATATCAAATTATTCGATTAATTAATGGTTTACTCTTAGATGTATTTTTATTATTTCCTTTTATTTTTTCTCGTATTTTTTTCTTTCGTTTTTATATATTTCCTTATATTTTTTTTATTCTTTCCTTATATTCTTTTCTTACAATTTTTAAATTTTTTTCTTATACTTTTTCTTATATTTTTTTTTTATTTTTTATTATTTTTTTTACTTTTAGTGAAATAAATTTCCTAGATTCTCCACTGCTACCAGTTGAGAAAAGAGAAATAGAGGAAAGATATTGAAAAGAAATTGAACGGAAAGTAATTTTCAAAGAATTATGAGTTGAGATATAAAATTAAAAGTGGAAGACAAGTATACGAGATGAAAAGGAAAAATAAGAAGGGAAATCTTGCCACACCCAAGTTATCAGAGAATTACAAATAGTCATGTTTCTGTCTGCTTTACTAGACACATATTTCTTTTCGTTTTTCGACGAACTTATCAGCTTAACGCGTTAAAAAGTTTTCTTTGCTTTTTTTTTCTTTTTTACATTAAAAGAAAAAAAAGAAGTTGCCTCCAGCAAGATTATAGAAAATGTGATGAAAAAAAGGAAAGAAATTGAAGTAGTCTCTCTCTGATAACTTCAAGCTCAAAGAGCGTTGCAATTTTTTTTTCCTCCCGAATTTTTCAAGGTTGCTTTTATCATATTTATCTCGTTTTAACGAATTCAATTCATTTTCCATATTTCTGGAATTTATAAATCATAAAATTTAGTTTAAATTAAATTTCTAAATTAAATTTTTTTTTTCTAATTTTTTCCTCATTTCTATTTTTCTTCTCCTTTTCTTCCTTTTTTCTACTTATTTATTTTTTCTTAAATGGAAATAAATAAGAGTAAACCAAATAAATAATAAATATTAGTTTTCACGAAATAAATATTCCAGAAATAAATTCTGAAAATAAATTTTGAAAATAAACACCCAAAAATCTAATTTAAAAAAAAGAAATAAATTTCCAAAAAAGGTAATTTTTCTAAAAGAAAAAATAAATTTCTTTTTACCTCTTTTTCGAGAAATCCAGCTCTGAGAGCTATTTGATTCTCCTTCATGCGTCTCGCATCCCTTGAACGTTTTGCGGCCATATTATTCTTCCTACGACGTGCCCAATATTTGTCATCCTTCAAATCATCCGGAACAAACTGAAAACGTTTAGAAAAAAATTTATTTCATCAAAACCAACGTATTATTAATCGGAAAAAAATATTAATTCACAACGCTCATATCACTCTTTTACAACAAAAACTCCTTTTTTAAACAAACAAAAATGTAATTTTTTTTTACAATGTAATTATCTATATTTAGCCTCTTAATGTTTCTGACTTGAAAATCTACTAATTAAGTAATTAAGAGTTTAGTGAAAAAATTTTTTAATTTCATGTACGTATGAATTTTAATTAATTTTTTCTTCTTAAAAAATAACATATCTATTATACAAATTAAAGTGCACGAATATGATTGATGAATGATAATTTCTTTTTTTTTCTTTTCTTAATTAATAATCGATTAATGGTGGATAAATTTCAAGGAAAGAATTTTCGAGAAAAACTCCCAATTGATTATTATTTATAATATAGGAAAATTAATAATGTTAATATTAGACAACTAATTATAATATTAATATTAAATAATGAATTATAATATTAATATTAATAAACTGTAATCAAATTATTATAAAAAATTATTTTATAAAATAATTAATTATTATTACCATGAACGTAAAAATGCATTTATTATTATAATCAATATTATTATCTATTATTATTATTATTATTATTCATTATTATTATTATTCATTATTATTATTATTCTTATTATTTATTATTATTATTAGGTACTATTATTATTATTATTATTATTATTATTATTATTATTATTACAAATTTAATTTTTATTATTACTTAAACAAATTAAAAAAATTAAGAATATTGCTTATTAAAAAAATTGTTTTTAAAAATATTAAATTGTTTAATATTAAAATGAAAAAATATTAAATATTCTAAAAATTAAATATTAAATTTTCAATATTTGAGAAATAAAAGATTTTCAAATTTAAAATATAAAAGACTGGAATTTTTAAGTATTTAAAAAATAAAAGAATAAAATTTTTTAATATTTAAAAAATAAAATACATTAAAAATGAAAATAAAGAAAATTTGATTTTTGTGAGAAATTGAAATATTAACTTGAAATCTCACCTGCTTTCGGGATTTCTTGATCATCGGCTGGGGCTTGAGTTCTTCGTCGGAGAAGGCGCGAGTCCGGGGATCGAAATCTCGCCCCGATGACGCCATCGAAAGCGCTACAAGAGACAAGCCATATTGTATTCGTGACGAATCCACGGAATCTGTTGCTCATTGGGGAATTGGTAACGACTACGTTAGTTACTATTTGGAAATTAAAAAAAAAAAAATTCTAATCTCACCGTTCGCGACACAGATCCTGAGAATTCGAAGATTTTTTCTTTTTTTTTTTTTAATTTGAAAACGTCGCTTCGAGTTCATACAAAGTTTTTTCTTTAAAAAAAAAAATAATAATAAAAATAATAATAATAAAAATAATAATAAAAAAAGTAATAATAATAAGAATAATAATAAAATAATAAAACAAAAATAATAAGGAAAAATAGAATTTTGTTTTTAATTAGATAAAGTAGAATTTTATTTTTAATTAGTTAAAATAGAATTTTATTTTGCCTTATTATTCAGAATAGAATTTTATTTTCAATTAGTAAAATAAAATTTTGTTTTTAATTAATAAAAATAGAATTTTATTTTCAATTATTCAAAACAAAATTTGGTTTTTAATAAATAAAAATAGAATTTTATTTTCAATTATTCAAACGAAAATTTTGTTTTTAATTAATAAAAATAGAATTTCATTTTCAATTAGTAAAAATAGAATTTTTTTTGAATTTATCCAACGCGAATTATTTATAAAATAAATAAAAAGAAAATTATTAACTACAATAATGTATAAAAAATATATTAAAAAAATATTAATTGAAAATAACAAATATACAATAGGGTTATAAATCTAGTCATAATTAGTGGCACTATTTAAAACAATTAAAAATGAACATCGAATAAACAATGCAAACGTGAGGATATGAAAATAATTAACAAAAACACCTTTTTTGAATAATAAATTTTAAAAAAATTGAAAAAATTTTTTCTAATAAATGTCAGGAGGTAATTAATACAGAAAATGCATGAAATTATCAGGAATTAAAAGCACAGTAAGGCAATTTATTTATTGAGACATATAAATTACACACGAGTGGAAAAAAATTGTCAAAAATGTAAAATAAAAAGAAATGCAAAAGTGTAAAAAAAAATAAAAAGGAAAAAAAATTAAAAAAAACAAAACAATAGAAAGAAAACAAAAAGAATTAATAAAAAAAAATTATTTTAAATTAAAAGATAGAAACGAAAGAAATATGAAAAGGACGAAACAAAAAAAAATAAAAATAAAATTAAAAAATCGAAAGAAACAAAAAAATAGAAAAAAAATTTAAAAAAAATAAACTAAAAAATAGAAAGGAAACAAAAAATAAATAAATTAATTAAAAAATAGAAAAAAAACAATAAAAAATAAGTAAATAAACTAAAAATTAGAAAGAAAAACTAAAAATAAAAAAGAAATAAAAATAAAGAAACGAAAGAAATGAAAAAAACGAAACAGAAAAAAATGAGAAAAGAAACTGAAAAGTAAAAAGAAGGAAACGAACAAATGAAAAAAACGAAACTGAAAAAAATAAAAATGAAGAAACTGAAAAAGTATCTAAATCTTTCAAATTGACTGTAAAAATAAAAGGAAAAAAAATAATATTAGATAATAAATAAAGAAAAATAAATAAGGAACAAAATAAAAACAAAAATATGTAAAAAGGTGTTTTTGTTAAAGAATTTCAAAAAAAAATCACACATCATGAGATGAATATTTTTTGAAACAGAACCGACCCTGAGGTGTCTTTCAAAGAACAATTAAAAAATTAAAGTCGATTCACAATAATTAATTATAAATATTTTTTCTCTTTTTTTATTTACTAACTATAAATTTGTCCTTTACGATGCATTTTGTAAAATATTAATTTTTTTTTAAAGATATATTATCTCTATTAATTTTACTATTCTTTTAAAATGTTTCAAAAAAAAATGAGTTTTTATCGACAAAAAAAAAAATGAATGGAAGAAAGAGAATAATTAATTTTTTTGATTTATTTTGCTTCAAAAACAATCAGGATCGGTATCGTTGAGGGGCGAGAGTCTCATCAACAGGATAACGAAGAGGTGAATAAACGACTCACTGGAGTCTGCCGGTGATGGCGGGTTCAAAGTGTCTGGCGAACAGCACTCGCTGGGCGATGGTGATCTCTCACGTTTCGTTATTGGCTCGAGATGAAGACCCGCTGGTCCCTGATGTCCAGTGACATCATTCCCATTGATCTTGTGAAGTTGTCCTCCCTGCATTGTACCCTGCCCACCACCAGCCACTCCTCCGTCCACCGGGATGCCATTTTCGGATAAAAATTCATCCAGGTCCACGTACTATAGTAAGTAAAAAAAATTTTTAAAAATAAAAAGAATTTTTTCATTTTCTATATACGATATTACAAAAAAAAAAGAATTTTTTTAATCGATAAAAAAATAATTTCTATAGAAAAAGAATTTTTTTTAATCGATAAAAAAAAGAATTTCTTTTTATTCGATAAAAAAACTGATAAAAAAAATTTTAAATACTTTGAAAAATGTTTCAAACGAAAACCCCAAAAAAAGAAAAACACGAGGATGTCTATAAGAAAAGCAGTGGGTCAAAGTATTTTTTTTTTTTTGAAAAAAAGAATTATTTTTCCTTTTGTTATTTATAGGGAGACAATTTGTCCCCCGCTAATTAATAATTAGCTCAAGGAGAGGAGTATTTAAAAATAATAAATTAGCAAAAAAAGTAATTTGAAGCGAAAAAAAAATCGCAAATAAAAAATTAAAAAAATATTAATATTACCTATTGAAAAATTTAATTATTCAAATAATATTAAACAATATTTTTGAAAATTTATTTACTATTTTTAGTATTCGAAACAACTATTATGAATTTGCGAAAAATAGTTTTAAAAAAATATCAAAAAAAAAAAAATTATGGCTGCAATTAAATATTAACAGTTTAAATTATAAATATTATTAAATATTTAATTATTTAACAAATTTGAATAAGTAAAAATTGAAAAAACTATTAATATCTACCTATTAAAAAATAATAATAAAAAAATAAATTTTTTAAATATTTTTATTAAAATTTTTATTACAGAATATTTTTTTTTAGTATTTAGCATAAATACTAAATAGTATTAAAAATATTTTTTTAAATTTATTTGCTATTTAGTATTCAAAACTGCTGCTATGAATTTGCAAAAAATAATTAAAAACGACAAAAAAATTATGATTGTAATTGAATATTAACAATTTAAATTATAAATATTATTGAATATTTAATTATTAACAATTTAAATAAGTAAAAAATTGAAATAATCTATTAATATTACCTATTAAATTAATAAAAATATTATTTATATTTTGAAACAATTATTTACTAATTAGTATTCAAAATAAAAAATAAATATTCAAAAAACTAAAAAATTAAAAATTAAAAAAAAATTTCAAAGAAAAAACTTATAATTATAATTGAATATTAACAATTTAAATGATTAACATTATTAAATATTTAATTATTGCACAATTTAAATAAGTAAAAAATTGAAATGTAAATCTGAAAAAATTTAAATTGACCGACTGTTTTTCTTTAAACAAAAAAAAATGTTTACATACATAAACAGATATTTTCTCTCCAGGGAATTATTTACCAGGTTCTTTTGGATTAATCGGTAAAAAAAATTCAGAAAGTGATTAAAAAAAATGGCAGAAAATTAGTGAAATTGTTAGTTTCAAGTCAAACTAAAAATGATAAATTAATATTACTAGAAGTATTCTATTTTAATTTCAAGTCGTGCTGTATATTGTTATAAACAATTTTTTCATTCTAATTTAAAAAAAATACAAAAATCAAACACACAGAAGTAGAATTAAATTATTTTGTTCTTGTTTTCGGTGTAAAGGTATAATTTGCTAATTTATGAAAATTAGACTAAAAAAAATTTAATAAATAAACCAAAGATTAGTAGTATAGGTATAAACTACAAAAATTTTTGTTTTATTTATAACATTAAAAATAATAAACTACAATAATTGTTTTATTATTTAATATTTTGAATAATAAAGTACAATAATTTTTTTATTATTTACAATATTTTGAATAATAAACTAAAATAGTTTCTTTATTTTAAAATATTAGAAATATTAAAAAAATTATTGTAGTTTATTATTCAAAAATAATTGTCTAAAACAAATATCTTTGAAAATTAATAATTTTTTAAATAAAAAAATTTTTTAAATTATTATCTAAAAGAAATATAATAAATAAATCTAAAATAAATTAATAATCGAATTTTGTTATTATCATAATAATTTGAAATAATTTTATTATTATTATTATTATAAAATTTTATTATCTATAATATTTTATTTATTATTAATAATTCTATTATGTAAATAAAATTTTACAACTAATATAACTATTGAAAATTTTCCCTCTTGTCTAATTAATTTAAAAATTTCTTTTGCAGTGGCGCATCACATCGCAGTCTTTCGAGAGACGTCGGAGAGGGAACAATACTCGTCGGGACACCATCAAAATTGTTGCAAACTTGCCCGGAATTTTCGATTTTAAGGCTATAAGAAGAGAGGAAACCCAACAAAAAAGGGGTAAGTCATAAAAATATCAATATTACAGTACTTTCTATACTGAAAAAAATTTTATTTAAATTTAAAAAATCGTTTTTTTTTATTAATTTATTTATTAAAAAAAATATTTTAAATAATACAAATATTTTTTCATTAAAATTTTAATGAAAAAGTATAATAATTAAAAATAGTAAAATAATTATTGCAGATGAAAAATAAATGAATAGAGAAGAAAAAATTGTAAAATATAATTATAAACAAAAAATAAATCAGTGAAAGTTTTTAGTATATTTTTATTTAATTTATTTAATTATTTAATAGTTTTAATTGTCATATTTCTAAAATTTTAGTGGAAAATTACAGAAAATTTGAGATATTATTTTTAAATATTGGTCGAAGACTTTAACAATAATTTGAAAGTAGAGAGAGAAGTTAATCCCTTATTGTAAACAAGAAAGTTTATGACCCTCGGCATTGTTAGGGAATTTGTTTTGTTCCTTTAGAAATGTCAATTAAAAGTTTGTTTTTACTTATTTTTCAGGTAGAAATTAATTATCTTTTATGAAGTATTTTTCAGTTTTCATTTTATTTTTATTATAGTTTTTTTTAGTATTTTTACTATATTTTTAATCATTAAATCATTAAAATTTTAATGGAAAATGATTGAAAACTGAAGAAAAAATTGTTTTTCAATACTATTCGAGAATCAAAAATTTCAATTTTATAAATTTTCAAAATTTTTCTGAATTTTCGAATTTTTAGAAAAATTTGAATTTTTCATTAAATAATCCCTATTTAAGTGGGGATTTTAATTTTTTTTAATTAAAAAATATTAGTGGAAAATTACTGAAAACTTTTTTAGGAAATATTTTTGGTTATAAATAATTGCAGCTACAAATTATTTTAATCATTTTTTTATTCTGTAATTTCTCAATTTCTCTAAAAAAATAATTACTTATACACATTTTTTTTATTGGTATATTATTTTAATAACTTTAATAACAAATGTTTTAATTATTTGCACACACAGGACTCAAGACTCAACTCAACAAGCTTGGATCGAAATTTTCCGGAATTCTTCAAAAATTTCATTTAGTGTTCCGATTTTATTGTAAATTAGAATATTTTTTTCTCAAATTTAGAATTTTAATTTCTTCGTCTAATGTGAAATTATTTTTGTAAATTATTTAGCTAGGAATTTTGAATTAAAAAAATGCAATTATATTAGCTAGGAAATTAACAATTAAGGTATACTAGTTTTAAGGAAGAAAAAATAATTTCTATTTAAGAAGAGAACTTTCAACATCCAGGATCAACTTTCTTCTTCAAAGAAAAGGGGTAAGTCGAAAAAACAACAATTATATTTATTTTTACATTCTACACCCAGAAAAATGTTTCATTTAATTAAAAAAAAATTTCTTCCCAACTTTATTCTTTACTTTAAAAATAATAGATATAGTAATCAATTAAAAAAAAATTTTTTTCCGAACTTTATTCTTTACTTTAAAAATAAAATTAATTCAAATTTAATATTGATAATATTCATTGATAATAATCATATTGATATTTGTCATTAAAAAACATTTCACAATGAAAGAAATTTTATCTTCTCATCATGTAAACATTTACGTTTCGCGGTATTTTAATTTCTAGTAGTCAAATAAAATTTGTAAATTGAAACTAAAATTATTGGAAAGTAAATGAAAAAATATTTAAGTAAATATTTATTTGAGCAAAAAATTTGTATAAATTAAAAATAAAGTGAAAATCAAGAATAAAAAGAGTAAAAATTTAAAAAACTACGTAACAATTAAAAATATGAGTAAACTTTAAACATTAGTAACAATTAAAACTTAAAAGTTTACAATATTAAAAAGTAAAAATTAAAGTTTTACAATATTAAAAAGTAAAATATTCTAATTGAAGAATTATTTATAGTAAAACATTATGCTTTTAATTACAAAAAAAAATATTTAGTAAATAGAATTCAAATTAAAAGAAATATTTAAAATATTGGAAAATTGTTTAAAATTATAAATTATTCTCTGATCGTTTTTCAATTTTTTGCATTTTATCTATGTAATTTCAATAAATATTAATAATTTTATCCATAATTGCTCATCTTTATTATAATTTAAACTTGAAATATTTAGCTAATTTCTGTTTGATTTTACGTGGAATTCAAAAATTTAAATAAAAATTATTCTTATAGGTAGTAATTACTCCCTAAATTTGAATCAGTTGAATTAAAAATTCTGCAGATAATTTTGTTAAAAAATAACGTTTAAAAAGCCGCTCTAATTGAAATAACATCTGGGTGTAGTTTTTAGTTTGAACTGTAGTTAATAGATATTATGCACCAATTACTGCGTCTTTATAAAAAAAATACTTTTATTTTATTTTTAAAGAAATAAAACTTTCGATAATCTCAAAGAAAAAATTGCTTTAAATCATGATAGTAATAAAATTATTTAAATATTAAAAATTAATTTTTTTAGAGCATGATACTAATAAAATTATTTAAATATTCACAATTAATTTCTTGAAAGTATGATTCTAATAAAATTATTTAAATATTAACAAATAATTATTTAAACCATGATATCAGTGAAATGAGACTAGTGCAAAATTTTTGATTAAATTATTTTTTAATAATTGAAATATCGCAGTAATTGGTGCACTATCCATACAGAGGGAGTAAAAGACCTTTCTTATTATCCTTTCTTCTCGTAAACTGCAATCGCAATATTGATACAACGAAACATTTATTTGCTATCTGTATTTAGTTGAATTTAAAAAGATAATAATTAAAAATAATTGCTTGAGAAAAAATCTGACTGGCAGACAAAACAAAAGTTAGTCGAATGTCACAATTTCGTATTTTTAAAAAAAAGAGACAAATTTTAAATTCCTTTTGATAGAAGCGTAAAGAATTTAATTTCCAACACTTGGAAATAATTCAAAGTTGCCTTTGAATACAAATTAAAGTTATTATTTTAATTAATAATTATAAATATTATTATTAAATGAAATTCAATATATATTTAATATACATTTAATATATTATTTAATTATTGAATTGAAAAAAATTATTTGCTATTACGAAGTTGAAGTCCACAACGTTGATCAACGATAACGCTTTTTTAATTTATTTGAATATTATATTTTTGTTATAAATATACAACAATTATTATTAAAATATAAATAAAACTCTACCTTTTTAATAAATTTTTGTGGCAGTATTGTTGCTTTTTCCTTTTTTTTTCTATTAATTACCACTTATTGAAAAACTTTTTTCGTTGATAAACGTTGTGGACTTCAACCTGGTTTGCTATTAGAATTTAATTCAATTTTAAAGAAAATAAAAAAATTATTAAAAGTAATAATAATAAGTAAAAGTAATTGATTAAGAAAAAATATAATATGAATTAATATATTTTTATCAAATTAATAATTAAATAATTAAATTATTTTATCAATAAGAATTATTTGGAAGTATTTGTCAAACTTTATGTTATCGCACCTAAAATTTTATCATTTGTGCACTTTCTTATTGACGGAAAATTGCAATTTGTATTTAAATGCAACTTTTAATTTGTTAAAGTGTTGAAAATTACATTCTTCACGCTTCTATCAAAAAGAATTTAAAAATTTGTTTCATTATTTTAACATTCGAATTCATGACATTTGACTCTACAACAAATAATTGTTATTATTGATAACAATTGTAATTTTTGCAAATGCAACTTTTAATTATTTAAAGCATTGAAAATTAAATTCCCTACGCTTCTATTAAAAAGAATTAAAAATTTGTCTCTTCCTATATTAAAATACAAAATTATGGCATTCGACTAACTTTTGTTTTGACTGCCAGTCAGATTTTTTCTCAATCAATTATTTTTAATTATTATTTTTTTAAATTCAACTAAATACAAATGTAAACTAAAGATAGAAAGTAAAAAAGACAATAAAAATACAATTGTAATTTTTTCTGTAGTAAAATATTTATTTTTTTTTGTTGTATCATACATTGCAGAAATGATTAATCTTAAAGTGTAAATGCACGCGAGACTAGTATCCAAAAAAGAATATCTTCCTTAATCCTTGCACATAAAAGTAAGTTGCTGATAAAAATCCTCTAGGTGACTAATCCTTAAGGACTATTTTCAGTGATCACGTGTTCCCATAGTAAAGTATAGGACACGTGACCACTGAATAATGACCTTAATTCAGTTTTTTTTATTCCTCCTTCTGGTCATGAGTCTTATTATTTCTCCTTCTTGTATTGAGTCCTCTTCTTTATTTATCCTTCCAGTTTAGAGTCTTCTGCTATTATTTATCCTTCCAGTTTAGAGTCTTCTGCTATTACTTTCATTCCTGAAAAAAGGTCTTTTACTCCCTTCTGTAAAACAATTTTCATTTATAAAAATCAAGACTTCTCTTCCTCAAGAAAGTAAATTTGCACTTTACTCTCAAAGGCGAGAAGTGGCATCAATAATGGTCGCTTCTTTGACTTGGAGAGGAAAGTACAAAGAACTTCTCTTGGGGTAAAAGAAGTCTTTTTTGGATAGGAGTAGGAGTCTGTTGGTTAGGAGTCTTATTCTCTGCACAGTTTTCTTGAAAGTATCAAATTGATAGTAGAGTGGATCAAATTGAAGCCAAAAATTTGGATCAATTTTTGATTTGTTCCACATTTTTGGTATCAGTTCGTTGCAATTTGATACTTTTAAGTTAAGAGTGTGGAGAATGGGACAGTTTCTCTGATGAACGGCTGGGTTTACTGCTTCCTCCTCTCAACTATCTTCTTACTTCTATCTTTCATTTTTACTACGTCTTCTTATTTTTTTTTGTCTCTCTGTCTTTGAAGTCTCCCCTAGGGAAAACGCACTTTACTTATTCTCTGGGCAATGGGGCAATATCTAAATTAGTAGAAATTGCTTCACTCCTGGCGAATAAGGAAAAGTGTCGTCTTCTTTCCCTGGGGGACCGACTTCTCTATCTACCTAGTAGAGCTGATGTCACCTCTCCTTTGGAGGGGCTCAGTCTCCCCTAGGGAAAACGCGCTTCTCTTACTCTCTAGGGAGTAGGGCAACTTCTTCTTCCCTGAAGTAGAAGTTTCTCTTTGGGAGCAAGATGAAGTGTCGTATCTTTCCCTGGGGGACCGGCTAGTCTCTGTTGACCAATGGAAGAGCAGACATCAGTTCTCCCTCCCTTCCTTTTGGTGGAAAAGACTTGCAACAAGCCTTTCTGTCCGAAAGAAAGTCTTTCCACCAACTCAGTCCTTCACAGACTCCCTAGTGAAGGACTTGAGAATTACCTCCTCCCCCTTACCTTTCCCAGGGGAGAGTGTGACGACTTTCTCTCCCCACCTGGGAAACGAAGTCGTCCTCAAGGAGAGAAGTTGTCGACTTCACTCTCCTTGAGTAGGAAGAGAGAAAAGTCAGAAGTCGTCCTCAGAAAGGGGATGGCGACTTTCTCAATTCCAGAAGAAGTCGAACGGGTAAGAAGGTCACTGTGAATACCGACCTCTAGAGATGAAAAAAAATTGACGTACACCCCCCTACTTTTCTTTCTCAAGGAGAGAAGTTGTGGTGCTCCTCTCCTTGACTTCGACTTCTACTAAGAAGTGTGGAAAGACTCGGTCATTTCCAACTTCTACTCGAGGAGATCGAAGTCGGAAACTCTCTCCTCGAGGACGACTTTTTGGTTTCTTCCAAATGGAAGCCAAGTGGAAGAGAGAAAGTCGTCAAACTCTCCCACTGGATGGACTTTTACTTCCTACTCTACAAGGGAGGTTGGAGTCCTAACCTCCTCCCCTGGGGTCTGTCGACTTTACTTAACTTCCAAGTAGGGAAAGTCGACAAAACCCTACTTGGGAAAGGACTTCTTTTTCTCCCTAGGGAGAGAAAGAAGTCGTCAACTTTCTCATTTCCTATCACCTCCATTTCCTACTTCCCCTCCCACCAACAGAGAACTAAGTTTCCATGGTAAGAGTAGGAAAGGGAGGGGATAGGAAAATCGAAAAGAAAATTGAAGAAAGAAAAGAAGAGTAGAAGAGAAAGAAGAATAAGTCCTACTCCTCCCTTCCTATCCCTCCATTCCCTACTTGTACTTTCACCAAAAAAGAACCAAGTCCCAATGGGGAAAGAAGAGTAGAGAAGGGGATAGGAAAATAGGAAAGAAAAATTGAAGAAAGAAAAGAAGAGTAGAAATACAGAAGAAGAAAGAAGTCCCACTGAAAAAATTATATTCTAAATTTAAGAAAATCTACTTAAATAGGCGCCAAGAATATTTTTATTATTATTGTAAGAATATTTCCCACCACAAGTATTACTTTTCTTTAATGTTACAATATAATTTTTCGAGTGACATGGAAAGCAAGATAGAAAGAAAAGGACAAGTCGCTTTCCCCTCAAAGGAAAATAATCATACAAGCTTCGTACTCATCTACTAAAACCTACTATCTTTTTTTCACGATTTGCTACTAGTTGAGAAAACTTTTTTTTAAGATTTGTGACTACTTTGTTCTTTGTTTGACAATTTTTCACTACTTGAAATAAAAAAAAACTATTTTCAAAAAATTTGTTGTATTTCAATTATTTCCTCTATCTACCATTTTAATAAAAAAAGTTTCCCAAAAAGTATTTTTACTACTTTAAAATCGCTAAAAGTTGAAATAAAATTATTTTTTAAAAATTTAATATATATTCTCTCTTTGTGTAATTCAAAAAATTGTAAATACTGTTTTTTTAAATGATTCAATTATTTTCGAAAATTCAATTTATCCAATATTACTATTTTAATAAAGTTATTTTGCAAAAAAAAATCAATACTTGAAAAAAAAAAACTTTTATAAAATTCTTTGCAAACATTCAATTATTTTTATAAATAATAAAATTCTTATTAGAAATCCAATAATTTTTTTAGTAAAATTCATTGCAAAAATTCTATTACTTTTAATAAATAAAAAACTCTTGACAAAATTTTAATTATTTTTTTCAATTCTTTTTAATATAATTTAAATATATTCTCCAAACAATAAAATTTTTTGAAAGAATTTTAGTTATTTTTTAAAATTTTGATATTTTTGTTTATTAGAATTAAATAATTATTTTAATAAATTTTAAATAAATTTTTAATTCAATTTCTTTAAAGAATTTAATAATTTTCAAAATAATTCAAATATTTTTTAAAAAAATTTTATATTTTTGTTTATTATGAATTTTGTTATTTTCAATAAAGTTTTAATTAAACTTTCTTGAAAGAATTTAGTAATTTTCAAAAATTTTTGATGAAACTCTGCGTAATAATAATTCAATTATCTAAAAAAAAATTTTATAAGGTACTATATGAGAATTGAATTTTGAGAAATATGAATTATTCAATAAATTATTTATTGTATTTAAATAATTGAATTATCGCAATAATTTTTAATAAGAATTAATTTAAAATTGAATTTTAGTTAAATTTTGAGAAATAATTGAACATTAAAAGCGTTACATTGTTTATTTTTAGAACTAATAAAATTTTCTCAGGAATTAAATGATTTAAACCACAATTTTCATAACATTTTTCGAAAAAATCAATTATTTAAAAAAAATATAAAATTCTTCGCAAGAATTCAATTATTTTTAAAAATAATAAAATTCTTCTCTGAAATTCAATTATTTTTTAGAATTTTAATAAAATACTTCTCAGACTTTCAATTATTTTTAATACAATTTTAAATAAATTCCCCAAAAACTGCAATTATTTTTAATAAATTTTATTAAAATTCTTCGAAAGAATTCAATTACTTAAAAAAAATTTGACATTTTTTTTATTAGAATTTAATAATTATTTTTAACATAAATTTAAAATTAAATTTCTTGAAAGAATTTAATTATTTCCAAAAATTTTAATAAAACTCTGCGTAATATAATACAATTATTAAAAAAATTTTTTTTATAAAGCACTTTAAAGAATTGAATTTTAATAAATATTTTACTTTTGTATTTATATAATTGAATTCTTGTAGAACTTTCTAATAAGAATTGATTTAAAATTAAATTTCATTTAACATTTTAGATAATCGAATATTCGAAGCGTTATAATGTTAATTTTTTTTAGAAATAATTAAATTTGAAAACATTAAATTGAAATATTTGAAAATTTTAATTGCTGTAAAACCATAATAATTTTTGAATTTTTATTTAGAAGTAAAATGATTAAAGTTTTGAATAATTTTATTTAGAAAATTTTAACAAAAAAATTATTGAGTTTTAGGAGAATTACATTTGCAATTTTTAGAAATATAGTTAAATTTCAAAAAGGCTTTACAATGAAATCGTTTAAAATATTTTAATTCCCGTAGAAAAATAAATGGACATTTAAATATTTATTTTAAAAAAATTTTCTATTTTTGAATAGAATTTAATTTAGAAATTATGAAAAAATTGAGTTGTTAAATTTAATTTTTCGATAGTTACTTTTTTACTACTTTTTTATGGTCTTTAAGCTACTTTTTGCTACCTTTTAAAAATTAATTATCGAGTACGAAGCTTGTTTAATTTTTTTTTGAAATTGAATATTGGAAGTAGAAAGGGAAATAGAAGATAAAAAGAGTGTTTTTTGACTCACCCCTCGTTTTTGATTGAAGACTGTCGACATAAAGTTGATACTGGAAGTTCAAGCTTTTTGTAGAATTCTTGTAAATTTATCTTCCTTAAAACTATTGACTTAGTTTGCTAATTACCTAACTAATATAATTCCATTTTTTTTGTTTCAGAATCCCTGGCTAAATAATTTAACAAATTTTCGGTAATGTTCGACGAGAAATAACCTAATACATCGAAAGCTAAGTACTTTAGGAAATTTCGAAGATTTCCGCACAATTTAGAACCATTCTTCGGAGTTATTTGAAGTTCAGTTAACCTTTTCCTTTCCTATCGATGATTGTCAAAAATAAAAGAAAAAAAATGTTTCTGTAAAAAAAATACTTCGAGTTAATAAAACATGAAGAAAAATTTAATTGTTTTAATTATTTCCTACTTCCAGATATTTTTTTCCATTGAAAGTAATTTCTTCAAATTGAAAGAAAGTGTATTTTTTGTTGTTAGCAAATTTTTAATTTAAAATTGAAATTATTTTTATAATTTGTAATAATTAATTTAATTATTTCAAGCAATTTTTCATTAAACTTTTTGAACAATTGAACTTTACTTAACAATTAATAATTAATAATAATTAAAACTTAAAACAATTTTATTGCTCTTTTATTTTAATTATTACTAATAGTTTCATATTTTTAATTCTATTTTAGTTCACGAAATTTATTTCAATAAATATTTATCTGAATATGTTTGGCTTGAAAATGACTAAATTAATTTATTAATTACCAATCTTATTGAATATGAATAAAATTTTTAATTAACTAAAAAAAATGAATAAAATTCAAAAAATCAATATTCAGTTAAATTTATTTTGATTTTCGAAATTTTCGGTAATTTTCCAATAGAATTTTAAGAGAAATAATTAAAAATACTTAATAAAAAATAAAATTTTACTTGAAAAATTAATAAAATTTTTTATTTACTTCTATCATTGTTACTAATTGAAAATTGTTACTATTTAAAAAAAACTTACTTCTTTATTTTTACTTGCTGCCAAGTTTTCTATTTTTAATTCAATTTTTTAAATGTTTTTATTAATTTTTTTCTGCAATAAAAATATTTGCCTTGAAATATTGGTTTTTTCTAGTAAATTTGAAATTAAAATTTCTAAGTGAACAAAAAATTTCAAAAGAAATTCGCTAACAATGCCGAAGGTCATTAACTTGCTTATTTACAATTAGGGATTACCATTTCTCCTTAACTCTGAATTATTGAAAAATTGTCAACTAAAATTGGAAATAATTTTTCTTTACTATTTTTTTATAATTTTCTATTACATTTTTTTATAATTTTCTATTACAATTTTAATGAAAAAAAATAATAAAATAAACTTCTTACCAAAAATTATTCAAAAGTAAATTATTTTCAAATATATGTGAACAAATTTTCAAAAATTCAGAATTTAAGAGAAAAGTTAATCCCTTAGTGTAAACAAGAAAGTTAATGACCTTCAGCATTGTTGAAATTTGTTTTGAAATTTTTCTTGTTCATTTACAAATTCAAATTTCAAATTTATTAGAAAAAAATCTATTTCAGAGACAAGATAATATTTCTGAAGTTTTTAGTATTTTCTATTAAAACTTTTATGAAAAAAAAAATCATAATTAAATACCCAGTTGAAAAGGGTAGGAAGAATTTAAATTTCTCGAAAAACTTAAATGAAAATTTAGAAAAATTTTCTAGTTCTTATTACTATTTTTAATTTTTAATTCAAAAATATTTTTATTAATATTAATAATAATGGCAATAATTTATTAAATCTTACCACTTTTGAAAAATAATTTTTTCTGTGAAATATTTGATTTTCACTAATAAAATTTGAAATTTAAATTTCTACCTGAACAAAACAGGGGTGTTTCAAAACAAATTTTCTAACAATAAGGTCATTAACTATTTTGTTTACAGTAAGGGATTAAAGTTTACCTTTTATTTTGAATTTTATTGGAAAGTTGTCGACTAAGATTGAAAAACATTTTTTCTAGTTTTCAGTAATTTTCCATTAAAATTTTATTGAAAAAAATAGAACTAAAATAAAATGCCAACTAAAAATAATTTGTTCTAAAATTGTTTTATTCTTTTAAAAATACATGAAAAATTCAAATTTCTCGAAAAACTTGAATGTGAATTTAGAAATTTTTTTTCAAAATTTAGAATATATTTTTCTCGTCTGAGTTATTAGTACTTTTAAATTTAACATTTTTTTATAATTAATTTTACTACTATAAATAAAAATGATTTATTTTTTAAAATTAATTATTTCTCTGGAATATTTTTGATATTCTTTCTAATAAATTTTTAAAACTTGATATTTATAAATTAATGAAATTAATAAAAATTAGATAAATAAAAATAAAAATTAAATTAATGAAATTAGATAAAAAAAATTTAAATTAAATTAATGAAAATTGATAAAACTGTATTTATAAATATTTTATAAAGTTTATTTTCTTATGAGAAATTAACATTACGTGGGAAAAATGACCTGGCAAAATAATTTCACATGGTATCGGAAAAAAATGTATTCTCTTTAAAAATGTTTCTCGAAAAAGAAAGTCTCAGAAAGAAAACTTAATTGAAATATTAAAAAAAAAAAATTCCACTGAAAAATAGAATGCAGTTAAAGGAACGATTTTTAAATTTAAATGAAACTTTTTTCCGAGTGTAAAAAGTATTAATAATATTAATATTTCTTTGACTTACCCCTTTAAATCTTGGTATTTTCTCTTCATATCGGCTTCAAATCACTTGAAAAATCACGTAAAGTCGTTTCTTTCTTGAAGCGCCTAATTATTTTTTCTACTTTCCTATCTTTAATATAATCACAATTTAAGTATACAAAATTTCCGCACGAGGAAGGAAAAATTGTTCAAAAATTCCTAGCTAAATTATTTTCAAAATCATTATATAAAAAATCACTATATACACTTGCTATTTGCAGTAAAAGAAATATTTGCAACCCTCTGCGAGTAACATCCTAATCTAACGAGGGCTGAGAATCTAATGAGGTTTCGAGGATTTTCGGGCAAGTTCGCATCAATTTTCGGTGTCCTGCCGAATTTTCTTATCTCCTTCCGATCTCTCACGACCGACTTCGATGTGGAAAAATGCAACTCTTTCTCTAAAAAATATTATTACTAATATTACCAACAAAAATAAATAAATTACCTATAAACAAAAAATAAATTCACACCCAGAGAAAAAAATATTTTTGACTCCAAGTGTACGGAAATTTTTATTTGTTTCAAATAAAGTTTATTTGGTTGAAATATATTTTTTTGGTTTAAAAAAATTTTTATCTGCTTCCAATAAAAATTATAATTAGTTAAAATAGATTTAATTTGGTTCAAATAAAAATTGTATTTGGTTGAAATAAATTTTATTTTGGTTCCAATCAAAATTTTATTTGATTCGAATAAAAATATTGTTTGGTTAAAATAAAATTTGGTTCCAATAAAAATTATATTTGGTTGAAATAGATTTTATTTAGTTCCAATAAAAATGTTATTTGACTGAAATAAACTTAGGTTCCAATAAAAATTATATTTAGTTAAAATAGATTTTATTTATGGTTTTAATAAAAATGTTATTTGATTAAAATAAACTTTGATTCTAATAAAAATTATATTTGGTTGAGATCGATTTTATTTGGTTGGTTTCAATAAAAATTATATTTATATTTGGTTGAAATAAATTTTATTTGGTCCCAATAAAAATTGTATTTGGTTCCAATAAAAAAGTTTAGTTGAAATTAATTTTATTTGTTACTTACCAATAAAAATTATATTTAGTTAAAATAGATTTAATTTGATTCGAATGACAATTGTCTTTGGTTGAAATAAATTTTATTTGATACCAATAAAAATGTTTAGTTGAAATAATTTTATTTGGTTCCAATAAAAATTGTATTTCGTTGAAATAAATTTTATTTTGTTCCAATAAAAATGCTATTTGGTTGAAATAAATTTTATTTGGTTCCAATAAAAATGTTATTAGGTTGAAATAAATTTTTCTCCAGGTGCATTTATAAAAATAAATTATCAATCAATTATTATTATTATCATAACCAGAAAATTATAAATCATTCCTAAAAAATTTTACAATTAAAAAAAAAACTCGATTCGAGAAAAAAATATTTCTAAATGAAATGTAAAAAAATGTGAAAAAAATTTAATATTAAAAACATAAAATTCTATATTGAAAACCAACACTCCAATATTTAAAGGTCAATCTAATTATGCATATCAATGAGACTATTTAAACAAACATTGAACGATACTAATTATATATGTACTATTTTCTCTCTACACAAAATAATGGCAAAATATTACATACGGTAAAGCTAAAAAGAAAATTTACCGCAGTTTATTATTAATTCTTGTTTTTTCTCGTTTCTCTTTATAATGAAAAGAAGAAGTCTAATTTTTTTTCCACAGATTTACTCTTCTACATTTATATTTATAATAAAGAACAAAGTCTAAAACTTTAATGAATGACGTTTTTAATCAATGTGTTTATTGGACAGTGGAAACGATTTCCTTTGCCTATCGTTTTAATCGTTATCGGTAAAAAAAAGTCAAGGTCGAGAGGGAAGGGTATGTGTGGTGTCAATGAGAAATCAAGGTTCGTCGTCACGTGACCCATTGAATATCATCGAGAAAAAGGAGTAATTTAATATAATTAACATCCAAGAGATGTAAATTAATTTTCCATAAGCAGAAGGAACTTTACGAAAAAACAAATTTTCTGCCACTACTTCCATCGTTACACATATAATTAACAAATAGAATTTCTCTCTCTTCTTTTTCTTCTAATTGTTCACTAATTTCTAATAATTGAAACTACCATTAATTGAAATTATCATTAATTGAAATTACCATTAATTAAAACTACCATTAATTGAAATTATCATTAATTAAAACTACCAATAATTGAAATTACCATTAATTAAAACTACCATTAATTGAAATTACCATTAATTAAAACTACAATTAATTAAAACTACCAATAATTGAAATTACCATTAATTAAAGCTACCAATGATTGAAATTACCATTGATTAAAACCACCAATAATTGAAATCACAAATAATGTAAATGGCAAATAATCGAAACCATAAATAATTGAAACTACAATTAATTGATACAATTAAAACTACCATTAATTGAAACCATAAATAATTGAGATCACAAATAATTGAAATCACGAATTATCGAATTATTCGCAGAAAAAAATTCGAAAACGCCACCAGGATTCGAACGCGCATTAATGTCGCGCGCCGTAAGTTGAGAACGTTGACCACGCGACCACGCCGCACTTGACAAGGGTCTTCTTCAAAAAATTTAACCTTCTAAAAGCTAAAAACAAGTAGAAATGAAATATTTTTATTTTATTTGCTAAAAATTTCCAGCACAATTTATTTTTATACTCTACTGTAGACACTGGGGACAATTATTATAGTATTTCTTTCTTTCTTACTCTATAAAAAAAGGAGAAAAACATTTTGTTCTCGCACGTCCAATCGAACGGACTCGTGCATGAATATTGCATCGTTCTCGCGAAAGCGTGTTCGTGTTCGCATTCTAATAATCTGGAATCGATCTTAAATTAAAAAATACTCCATTTTTTTTAACAATAAATACGAGTAAGAAAAAAAAACAAAAAAAAAAAAAGAAAAACCGAAAAAGTCGGAAAAAATTTCGAGAATTTTTACGATATTGAAAAAATTTCGAAAGGCATTGACATCACCACGGGAGAAAGTCCAAGACATCGCGCGCATAAAGCGAAAGGTGGCAAGGCCGTAGGTATATATTTAGAAATTCGTTCAAATTTTAAAATTTCCTCCTTCTGATCGATTTTCATTTTTTTTCTTTCTTCAAAAAGAATTGATAACTACATTGCAAATTATTAAAAAAAAAAGAAAAAAAGAAAAAGAAAAGAAAAGCGAGAAGTAGTGAAAAGTAGAAAAAATAATTGTGATAAGAAACGAGAAGTAAAACAAAAGAAAAGTAAAAATCAAATATAGCCGAGAAATAGTAAATAAATATACATGTGTATATAAATTGGAAAAAGAAAATCGACGTCTTTAAAAAACCTTCGGCAAACTTCCTCGTTTGTCAAGGCGTGACGGAGAAAGTGTCTGTGCAAACTTGTTCTCGCGAAACTGCTTTGGGTTTCCGACTATTTCCCGTTTTCGATGACTACAGGAAGAGAACGTTTGGACGTTCCAAGTACGCATCAGATGCAGATTTCCCGGGACGATGATCGATGAACTTTTGCCACAAGCAAAAAAGAAAAAAGAAGAAAAAAATTTAAAAAAAAAAAGAAGAGAAAAATATTCCCTTCTCATCAATCTTCATCAACTTTCTCATTCGATAAAACTGTTTAACAATTTAATATAAAAATGAATATTTTAAATATTTGTAATATATGTTTTTTTATTGTGCATCATATTTATTACTCAATGTAATAATATGTGTAATTATAAAAAAATATTTAGTTAAGAATTTTTTTATCCTAATAACAATAATAATGATAATAGATAAACTAAAAATATGTTTTAAAACTTTTATGCTCTTTTATTTAAAAAAAAATAAGATAAAGAAAGTAAATAAAATTAAAAAGATAAATAAAATAAATAGTTAAGAATAATATGTTATAATAATAATATCTATTATTAACATAATAATATTAATAATAATATTATTATATTAATAATATTAATAATAATATTATTACTGCTATTATTATTTTCATTATTATTACTAAATAATACTGAATATTTTCACTAAATATTACTAAATATTATTACTAAATATTTATTTTTTTATTTATTTATAATATTTTTACGGACAGTGCCCATTAATATTACTAAATATCTTTTACTATTATCAATCATATTGTTAATTACTTTAATTTATAAAGATCTTAAACTTAAGAAGAAGAAGTTTAAGAATCAACAAGAACTTTAAGATCTTTATTAATTATTTTATATAATATTATTTTGAATTATTAATTAATTAAATTACAATTATTATTATTAGAAAATAGAAAAAAGTTTCAAAAAGTATTAATAGTCGTTATTAATAATATTATTATCATTATCGTTGTTAATAGTCCAAAAAACTCAATTTTTAATTTGTTTTTTGTTAAAATAAATTTTTAAACTTTCGAATTCGTGATGGCCATAGTCGTTAAGGCGCTTAAATTTTGTGAGTTCCTCTGATTACGTATCATGCGTTCCAATCCCCATAGCGTAAAAAAATTTTTCAGTTCCACGTATTTAAAAAAAAATTAAACTTAAACTCGTTTCCACTGTACGGAATTAATTAAATAATTGTACTTAGAATAGAGAATCGGCATGCAATATAAATTACGAAGAAGAAAAAAAAACCATGAATTTATTATTAGAAAAAAGTTTCCCTTCATAATTACATCAAATATAAGACGAGAAATTCTTTTTATGCAAAAAACTGGAAAAAAAATATTTTGCAACGGGAAGAATTCAGTTTTTTATTAGAGAAAAAATTTATCAATGAGTTTCACGTTTGTGAATTTTTACTCAATTTTATATTATTTTCCGTTTCTTTAAATTTGATTTTTATTGGGGGATTTTTTACGAGAAATTGAAAAAAATAGAAATTACTCGCCAGGTGTGATAATATAATAATTATTCTATTACTTCTATTTCATATCGTCTATGATTCTTTAATTAAATATTGATTAATTATTATTTACTAATAACTATTTGCTAATTCGTAGTTAATTTCTATTAAATTATTAAAAAATTAATTAGAAATATATTTTAAAAAACTAATTAATTACTATTAATTATTATTAATTAATATGTAAATAGTAATTAATAATTAGTTAATAATTACGATTTACTAATTACTAATTAATAATAATTAACTAATAATTACGAAATGCTAATTAGTAATTAATAATTAACTAATAGTTACGAATTGCTAATTAGTAATTAATTATTAATTACTAATTCTTAATAAATAATTTCTAATTTTTAATTAAGTATACTGAAAAAAATAGATAATAAATAATCTGTGTGTAATTTGTAAATAAATGATTCTTGCTTTATATCGTTCACGACTGTTTTAATTAAACACCGACTAATTAATTAATAATTTATTTTTTAATAAATAATGAATTACATTTTCAATTTGTTGATTAATAAATATTAATAAATAATTAATTTAATTTTTAATTTATTTATTAATAAATATTAATAATTAATTGAATGTTTAATGTATTTATTAATAAATATTAATAATTAATTAATTAATTAACTAATTATTAATTATAATTATGATAATTGTAGTATAGAAATTAATAAATAAAAAATAATCTGTATGTAGGTTGGATAAAAAAAATGATTAATGGTTTGATTAGTGGATGATTCGTGCACAGTGCAAAAAATCTCTTTGTCCTTCTTTTTGTTTTTTGCCAAAGAAAAAAAATTTTTTTAAAAATTTTTTTTGTAAAAATTCAAGTCAGAGTTCATTTTTTTTTTGTGGGCTTACCGTCTCGCGTTTGAGTACATACATGGTTTAATACCTTCAGGTCGGCATCATAGGGTAGTGTTTTGTCCCAAAGATTTGGTCCAAGAAAGGCAGCTTGAGCTTCGACGTTACCCCAAAGCTCACCGTCAGCATCCTTCTTCTCATCGGGTCCATCTTTGCCTTGTTTTCCTGGAAAACGAATTATTTTCATTTGTTAGAATATTTTTCAAATATTTACTATTTTTACTATCTTTAATATTTTTATTACTTTCACTATTTTTACTATTTTCAGTATTTCTACTATTTTCACTATTTTTATGTTTACTATTTTTAGTATTTTTACTACTTTCACTATTATTACTATCTTTACTATTTTTAGTATTTTTACTACTTTCACTATTTATACTATCTTTACTATTTTTACTATTTTCAGTACTTTTACTACTTTCACTACCTTTACTATTTTTACTATCTTTAATATTTTTATTACTTTCACTATTTTTAGTATTTTTACTATTTTCAGTATTTCTACTATTTTCACTATTTTTATGTTTACTATTTTGAGTATTTTTACTACTTTCACTATTATTACTATCTTTACTATTTTTACTATTTTCACTATTTATACTATCTCTACTATTTTTACTATTTTCAGTACTTTTACTACTTTCACTATTTTTACTACCTTTACTATTTTTAGTATTTGTATTACTTTCACTATTTTTACTTCCTTTACTATTTGTAGTATTTTTAGTATTTTTACTACTTTCACTATTTTTACTATCTTAACTATTTGTAGTATTTTTAGTATTATTACTACTCTCACTATTTTATTATTTTTAATACTTTTAATATTTTTTTCTATTTATTTATTTAAATTTAGAATATTTTTTTTTGAACTACTTTTAAAAAGTATGTTTTTTTTTGTAAGCTTTAATATATATCTGAATAATTTTTAGAAAGTCGGGCATAAAATCCAACGGCAAAATTCTCTTAAAACGATTCCGAATATGTTCTTCTTTTTTTTTTTTTGAGATTCTTGGTATAATTTTTTTTTTCTTTTTCGTCGCAGTAAACGCGGAACAAGTTGAGTCGAGGTCAAACTTTGCAGGCGCCGAAATTGTCTAGAAAAAAAGGAAGCAAAGAGGAAGAAAAGGGAACACATAAAAGGAACAAAAGGAGAGAACGCATGAGGCAACGGTCTGTTATGGCCTTGATGATGTTTGCCCAAAAATAGCGTTCATCTTCTATTTTTTATTTTCTTTTTCTTTCTTTTCTCCGCCTCGTTATCTGTCATCTGTCAAATATACAGAAACGAAAGAAAGAGAAAGAAGAAGAGAGAAACGAAAGAAAATGAAAGAGAAACGAAAAAAAACCAAAGAAGGAGAGAGAGAGAGAGAAACGAAAAAAACCAGAGAAAGAGAGAGAGAGGGAGAGAAAAAGAGAGAAATTTTGAGAGAAAAAGTTCAAAAGTCAAAGGTGAAATAGAGTATATGAACGATTATTTGCAAGATGTTTTGTCGTCGATGACTTACTGTCCACGCTAAGCGATGCATTAATCAAAACTTTCCCCTCATTACACTAGGCGACTGATTGTTTTATTCCCCCCCTCCCCCCTATAGAGGTGGAGCGTCTTTCATTATAAATTTTCTCAACATTAATAATATATAAATAAAAAAAAAAATAATAATAAGATTTTTCAATTTTTAATTTAACAAAATCTCTGTTTAGAAAAATTAACTGTTAATTTTACTAATTAGAATTAGAATTAGAATTTCTATTTAGCAAAATTAAATTCTAATTTTACTGCTAATTAACTGCTAATTTTTTTAATTTTTTTTTTTAATTAAAAATTAGAATAAATTAAAATTCTGCTAAAAGAATATTCAACTAATTAATTCTACAACAGTAAAATTTTTATTTAGAAATTAATAGTCTTACTAAATTACAATTTAGCTGAATAAAAATTCTACTCTATAAAATTCCTAGTGACTAATAATGTGGCTAAATAAAAATTCCACTAATTGATAAATCTACTAAATTATAATTTTCCTGAATGAAAATTCTACTAATTAGTTCAAATAAAAATTCTAATATATAAAAATTCTCTTAAAAAAAATTCGACTAGGGGAAAATTTTACAAAAGAAATATTATACTAAAGAAAAATTTTATTAAAGAAAAATTCTACAAAAGAAAAATTTTACTAAAGAAAAATTCAATTAAAGAAGAATTGTACTAAAGAAAAATTCTACTAAAAATAAGTCAACTAAAGAAGAATTTTACTAAAGAAAAATTCTACTAAAAGAAAATTCTACTAATTAGTAATTTGTCTAATGGAAAAATCTACAAAATAAGAATTCTTTTAAAGAAAAATTCTACTAAGGAAAAATGTTACTAAAGAAAAATTATACTCAAGAAAAATTGTTGCTAAAGAAAAATTATACTAAAGAAAAGTTTTACTTAAGAAAAATTCTACTAAAAGAAAATTCTACTAATTAGTAATTCGTCTAATGGAAAAATCTACTAAATAAAAATTCTCTTAAAGAAAAATTCTACTTAGGAAAAATGTTAGTAATGAAAAATTATACTAAAGAAAAATTGTACTAAAGAAAAATTTTACTAAAAAATTGTCAACTAAAGAATAATGTTACTAAAAAAATTCTACTAAAGGCAAATTTTACGAAATAAAAATTCTACTAAAGACAAACCCTGCGAAAGGAAAATTCTACTAATTAGTAATTCGTTTAGTGATAAAATCTACTAAATAAAAATTCTCTTTAAGAAAAATTCAACTAATTAATAAAATTAGTCTAAATGGAAATTCTACTAAATAAAAATTCTCTTAAAGAAAAATTCCACTAAATAAAAATTCTCTTAAATTAAAATTCTACTAATTAATAATTCGTCCAAATAGAAATTCTACTAAATAAAAATCCCATTAAAGAAAAATTCCACTATAATTAATAGTTCGTCTAATTAAAAATTCCACTAATTAAATATTTTATTAATTAAAAATTCCACTCAATAAAAATTCGATTAACTAGGGGAAAAAAAATTAAAATACCATTTAGAAGAAAATGAAATTTTTGTCGTAAAATCTGCAATTTTCTAAGTTTATATTGCGGTTATGAGAAAAGGAAAAAAAAAATGAACGAGTCGAGGAGAGCGATCAGGTCGACTGTCAAGGTTGTGAGAGTCTGCTTGTCATGACACTCTATGTTGGCTACCTAACAGATCGAAAGAAAATAATATATGATGGATATGACGATATCAATGACGATGATAATGATGATGAAGATAATAATAATAATAATAATAATAATAATAATAATAATAATAATAATAATAATAATAATAATAATAATAATAAAATAATAATAATAATAAAATTAAGAATAAAAATAAGAAAAATAAGAATAATAATAATAAAAAAATAAGAATAATAGTAGTAAAAATAATAGTAATAATAATGATAATAATGATGATGACGATAATGGCGATCGTTACTTATAACAACATACCGGTAGTGGATCGTTAGTACAGGTATATAGTATATTAAAACTAGGTAATTGTCTTTTTTGACCTTCTTGTCACATATCAATCACATCTTTAATCTGCTTTTTAATTTTTCTTTCATTTCTCTCAACTTGTCAATCGTTTATCAATTTTTTAGTATTGACTGTAGGCAATAATTTATTCTTTCTAGTGACACTTTACAAACTTGGAATTTTTTTACAAATAAATACAAATATAATAAATATATAATATACAAATATATAATATAATAATAATAATAATAATAATAATAATAATAATAATAATAATAATAATAATATAATAAAATATAATAATAATAATATAATATAAAAGTAATGTAATATTGCAAATTAATACAAAAAAAAAGTTAATATTTTATTTAATATTCATATTCAATTAATATTTAATTAATTAGTAAGTAATTAATTATTAGTTAATTTTTTTTCATTGTATACCCATAATATTTTATTTAATTATTATTATTATATTAATATTAATTAATTAATTAATTAATTAATTCATCATTTATACAATTCAAAACGCAAATACATTAATTACTAATTCAATATTGAATATTAATTATTTGTATAATTAAATTAAGTTTAAAATTAATTATTATTTTCTTAATTACTTTAATTAATAAAAATCTTAAACTTATTTGTTTAGCCGTTAGGCCAAACGAAGAAGTTTAAGATCTTTATTAATTATTTTATATAATATTATTTCGAATTAATAATTAATTAAATTGCAATTATTATTATTAGAAAATAGAAAAAAGTGTCAAAAAGTATTAATAGTCGCCTGAGACCAAGTTCTCTAATTATATTAAATTTAATTTTAATTTATTTTTTACTAATTGTAATTAAAAGAACAAAATGGAATTTTTTTTTGGTTACTTCTAATTTTTCGTAATAATTTAAAAAATGAGTAAAAGTTTGTGGAAAAATTTTCTCAAAAGGAGAAGAAGAAGAAAAAGAAGAAAAAGAAAAGTGTAAAAAATGTGAGGAAAATTTTCAGTAAAAGAATTTTTGCTTCTCTATTAAATGACATATATATATATATATATATATATATATATATATATATATATATATATATATATATATATATATATATATATATATATATATATGCAGTTCCGTTATGCTTGATCGATGATCTAGTGGCGAATCGATGGCATATTTCTCGAATATCCTTGAAAAATAAAAGCCCACTCGAATCGAATCAACAAAAGAATTCGATGGAGCAACCGGAATTTGAAAAAAAGAGAAAAAAGAAAAATTGCATTGATCTCTCGTTTTCTACTGTTAGAAAAAAAATTTCCTGTTTTTTCTAAACAGAAAATCTTTTTTAAAAAGAGAGGGAGAATCATTTAAAAAAATAAATAAATAAATAAAAAATTTAATTAATTATTTAATTAATTGAAACGAATAAAAATTTACTTATATTGCTCTCTAAATTAATTAGAGAGTAATTAGTAATTAATTAGTAATTAGGTACTAATTATTAATTACTTAATTAGTAAAAATATTTACTAATTTGAATTAGTGACTGACTTTTTGCTTTCAAATTAGTAAACTTTATTAATAAAAATAGTAATTTCTACTAATTTATTACCCAAATTTACTAATTCAAAAACAAAAAGTCAGAC